AGGTTTGCAGGCACTGACATGATGCAAGGGCTTAAAACAGCACAAGCAACGCAGGCGTGACAGGGGGAGAAGGTTTTTGCGGGGTATTACTAGCTTAAGGGGCAAAGTGGGGTGGGTTGGCATTTCCAAATGCCTGAAGAAATAATGCACCCCTGCCAAGCCATGCTTGTGCCAACAGCCTGAAGGCTTTAATCAGTACCTCTGACTCTCCTCAAGTGTCACCTCTCCTTCCCAATCTCACTGCCAAAGACAGGTAAAATAATAGATCTAAACCAAGCAGTTTGTCTGCTTCAGAAGCAATACGCAGAGCATAAGAGGCTGTGGATGCCGGTCTCGCTGCTGCTCTGCAGGGCAGAAAAGATGCTCATGTGCGCCTTGCACAACTAATGGCACATGGGGGCAGCCGGGATCTTATTTACAGATAAAAGAAAATGTCAGAGGAGACATTTGAAGTGTTCTGCCCCATCATGCGGGCTCATTATTACCCAGTGATCAGCGTGCTATCAGCTTGTGCACGCTGAGCAAACTATACTTTGGCACTGGGCTTTTGGCACCCTCTTCTGCCTGGACGGACGCCTACAGGCACTGGGAACAAAAAGTACCTTCTCCTCCTCAGGGGACAGTAGTGACCTTAACGTTGGCTTGAACATTTCTGCGGGACCTCTTCCTTCCCGGGGAAGTGGAAATACGTAAACACGCTGCATCTGGGATGCAAATCCTCCTCCTCCTCTCCCCACGTCCACCCTTCCACAACAGCTCGCCTCTGTAGTTCTCTCTGCCAAAACATGAATGTGACAAAGCTCCCTGCAAGCAGAGCTGGCTCGGTTTCGACTCAAGCATCTAGCAATTTTTGCAGGTTGCAGAAACTATAGGCCAGAAGATTGCATACCGCAGTCATCGGAGACCGCTGTTTGTCTCAACGTTGGAAGCCTGCTTTGGAGCTGAAGTGGCTGAGATAATGGCTCTGACACTTCCTCTTCTTGTAAAAAGATGAAAAGCGCCATGTAGGGGAAAAAAAAAAGTTAAATATCATTATGGTCATATGCCCTTAAGTAAAATGTAACTCCTTTAAGAGAAGAGAAATAAGTTAAGGAGTCTGATAGCTGCACACTGGCATCCAGATGATAAAAGTAACGCAAACATTCGATTACCGGTAGGGTTACAGCTATTCATTCATGCAACAAAGTCAACAGCAGAAATACCAAGGGGCTGGAAATAAATCAGACAAAAATTCAGACTTAAAATCAAATTTATTTAGAGGAAAAATGACTTTACAAGAGGTTGATGCTGATAACTAAAAAGGAAGATAAATAAAAGCTTGTTACAAAACCTAATGGTTTCTGGCAAGTTACAGAAAAACTGAAGAATTTTACAGTCAATAACCTGCTCACTTTTTACATAATTACAAATTAACATACAGCAATTAGGTTTTACCCTCTTTTTTAAAAAAAATCTTTTTTCAACTTTAAATTTTTTTTAACTTTTTTCCTTTTTTTTCTAAATGGGTTCAACAGGAAAATGCAAAGCATTTCTTTTCTTTTCTTTCTTTTTTTTTTTTTTAAAGAAACAAGCCAAAAGCAGAGGTATATCAGGGTATTATAATACACCTCCTCAATGTTCTGGGAATTACTCAAGTGCATTCCGTATTAGTACAAAATAAACACCAGGCTAAACTTTAACCATAGGCGAACTGAACTGGACATAGATTTTTCTGAGTCAGTGTTTAATATCGATAAAGAAAATAGTAAAATACTTAAGAGCATGGCAATGATCGATACCTATAGACAGTTTACATACATACAAAGCTCATAGCCGTATGCAAAGCAGTGAACGTCATCCTGGTCCCCCCTCCCCCCAAGCAATGGAAGCAGAATATATTTGGGCAAAGCATCAATGTCAGTGAGACGCGTGTGGAAAGAAAGGGCACGGAGCCCTTAAAACGGACGTGGGCAGGCAGTTAGCACTATGCTTCCCGCTACTCAAGAGCATGAGGTGTACGAGACTAAACCAGTTCAGCTTGCCTATCTTTAAAGCTTAGCTGCATCGCCGGATCAAGAACAAAACCATCAGCTGCTGCCCCTTCTGACAAATGAAGCGAGAGTTACGAGTGCTAGGGGAGGTTTATTTAAAAGGGTGCCTTAAATTACGTTAAATTCCCAAACCTGGCCAGCAGGTAGAAAATTTTCCAGAGTTCTGGTTAACAAGGAATGTTTGGTTGGATTCAAGCAGGTACTCTCCCGTGCCCCCTGCCCCGTCCTCCCGTGCGCCGTGCCACAGGCATCCTAGCCAGCATCCTTGCGATTTTGGCACCTGATGAACCTCTTCTGACTCAGTGGCATTTGCAAGGACTGGATTCAGGTATTGCTGCAGCAACGGCTTCAAGGTATTCTAGCGCCGCAAGGAAGGTGCAAAGATTATCAGACTCTAGAGATGCTCTCGCCTGGGAAAGGCAGTACAGATCTGCTCAAGCTCGTGGCATTACTGTGCTGCTTAGCAGTGGTCAAACTTCAAGCGGGAAAAGAATAGGCCACCCTCTGTGGAAGCAAGTGCTCCTGCCCCAGAGATGGCACCCGGGAGGTCCCTGAACGGCCTGCACAGTAAATATCTTAGTGCACAGGAAGGGCCTCACTGCACTCTACTTGGTTGCATCCCCCTACATCTCCTTTGCTCTAAGTTTCTCCCGAGCAGGAGGAGCTGGAGGAAGGATGGCTGCCAGGAGCACTTGCCTACGGGCAGTGGTGCCTCGGTCCTTGCGTGCAGGAGGTGATGCTGATGCCAGGGTGGGTTTTCCCAGTGGGACGATCGCTTTTGCTCTTCTAGTGCAAGGTGAGGTGGCCCCAGGTAGATGCATGCAGGAGGAGTAAGTGATGGCTGAACATCCCACGGGGAAAGGGCTGGTAGCTCACCCTGTCTGGAGTGGGACTGTAGTCACATTCACAACCACACTGGTCTAAAACTAAGAGAAAAAGCTTGTCCCTTCCTCCCCTCTCCCCTAGGCCAGGCAAAGCCAAACCAAAGCCAGGTTTCACAGTGGCATATCCCTACTTGAAGCTCAGATTGTGCGGGTGATGCAGAGGGGGAAGCAATAAGAAACCTGATTGTCTCGACGTAGCCAAAATGAAAAGGGACAAGACCGATTCCATTTAAAGTGCTTTATAGCATCAAACTGACATAACGTTACATGATGAGATGATCACTTCACTGGAAAGAGCCTAAGGCCAACCCCACTCAATTCCTTCGTGTCTCAAACCATTTGCTACAGCTACTCTCTGCTCCCTGGGGTATCCTGACACCCTCAGCTAATACCGACCACTTTAGGACTTCATCCGAGACCATGCCCTCACTACACTATTCACTGAAACCCCTTCTCTCGGGTAGCAATGAAGACTGGGCAAAGTAAAAGCCCACGAGAAGAAAGTCTGATTTTTCCCATCTGTGAAGCAGTAGCAAAAAAAGCTCTTAGGGCCCTTGCAGGGTCCTCTTCTCCCCTCTATATGGACTTTTCACAGACAATTTTGAACCTTCCTGTTCTGTGTACCAGGAACCCAGTGCAAAATGGGGTGATTTGGGTGCTCCGAATGGGATCGAGGGACTGGCCATGGGACTCAGACAAGGTGTTAGGCTGTGCTGAGGAAATAACGTTTTCCAGGAATGCAAAATGGGCGCCAAGCATGGAAATGAAGCAAACACCATTTTAAGGCCAGGAAGAGGAAAGGCTTTGGTGCTGTGAAACTAGGACTGTACTCTAGCAGACAACCCTAGGCACTCTGCACGGATCAGAGTGGGGCTCTAACTCCAGGAACCGATGCCAAGCCTTGCCAAAGAAAACTGGAGGCAAAAAAAAGGCCAGAAAAATAAAAGCAAGCCTGCACCTTCCTAAAGGTGAAAGGAGAAGGAAGCAGTGTGGGAGTCTCATTCAAATAGGGGAGATTCTTCCAAATACAAAGTGAATCATACAGTAATGTACATCCCCCAGGGATGACGGATGTCTGCTCATCAGCATTTAAGACAAGAACAGCTTTGATATGCGATATTTCTGCTGGGCATATTTTTGATTCAGATCATGGGGATCATGGGATATCATTTAGCAAATACATTTTTTGCTTAGGACACTGAATGCTCTTTTTTATTTACACAGGACAGAAGAGATAGTCAAGCCAGTTGAAGACTCAACCCTACGGCCCTGGGTCCCATCTCCCTTTTGACGTCCTTCTCAGAGCCATGGGACGTTCCCCTGATTCACAAATTCAAAGACGTGCTGGGGCTGGGGAAAAGACAGTGGGATGAAAATAAAAGCTTGCACTGGCAAAGGTTATTACAGACCCAGGGGAACCTTCCAAAATATCAGGGAACTGATCTCTGTTTATACAACAGTAAATGAGCCATGCACTGGTTTGGAAACCAAAAATTTCAGCTTGGCCCGTTAATTTTCACAGATGTACAAACAGCAGGGCAGAAGTTATTTTGTCAAACCAGTATTTTTCTTATTAAAAAAATAACACCATGACAGCACATGCAGCTCCTTTCAAGTTCAGGAGACTTGTCTGGATCTCCCTGGACAATCGATCAGACCCTCACATCATGGGAATATGTTCCGTATTTGGCTTTCCCTTTGCCTCCAAGAGGTATGAGAAAACCTAAACAAAACAGCTAAAAAAGGAAACTAACTGATGTGGCAGGAGTCTTGTCTGAAATCACTGCTTCTCTTTCCAAACATTTTTGGCCTAAAGATGCTCTGCCTTAAAGAAAGCTCTCAGCTGAAATTCTGTTAACACTGGGCATGGCATAGACTGCTAAGCACCACTGCCCAAACCCTATTTTTGTAGGAACCAGAGAGATAAGAGCACTGGGTTACCAATAGTTTGGTAAAAAAAAAAAAAAAAAAAAAAAAAGGGTTAAAAAAAGGGGGGGGGGAAGAAAAAAACGCTAAACCAACCCCTCAACCCCCAAAACAAAAGCAAAACAAAAGTTAAAATAAAAAAATAAAACCAAGTAAACTTTTTTAAAAAAAGAACTCTTTCAAATAAACAGAAAGATAAATATTTTTGCAAGCCCTGCTTGCAATTAAGAACAAGCACCAAAAAATCTTAAAAAAACCCCCCAAAATAATAAATCTCAAACCTCTTTCCTTTCTTTCTTTCTTTTTTGAATCTTAATAGTTTAGAGAGCTTCAAAAGCAAGCGGGCTATTCAGGATTCCCGCGCTGATCAAGGCAGACCAGTTTAAGCATCGACCTCACTGCCAATGCTGCTGCTACTCCTTAGCACTGAACTCTGAAAACTGGGACTAGCTTGTGAGAAGCTAAAGAGCAAACTGAGATCAAATGATAGTGCAAGAAAAAAAGTGTTTTTTCTTTTTGCCTTTTTTTTAAAAAGAAAAACTGGGAGGAAAGGAAATGCACTCAGCAGCTTCAAACTGTTTGAGCAAACCCTTGAGCTACTCGAAGCTGATAGTGACTCATAACCATTTACAAATTCGCGGGGGCAAGTCCACTGACAGGGTATGGAAGAACACGAACTTTGGGAAAAATTTGCCCTGCTGCATTCTTCTTCCCCCGTTAAATACGTCCCCATATTCAACAGCTGTACAAACGCATTGCATTCAGCATCCCGAGAGCTGTCTGCGAGCCTGCCTGCTCTGCGGACGGCAACATGGAGGTGCATGGACTCTGCTCACCAGAGAGCACGCGGTGATGGACATGGACCTAGCGCGCCAGGCCTTTAGACCTGTCACACGGTGTTTCGTCCGTAAGAATAGATTTTCTTCCCCGTAATGGGTCCTAAGTGCACAGTACTGTATAGGCGTAGGAACTAGGAACTGCCTCTCCCGAGAGGTCACTCTGCTCACAGCACTCAGTCCTGTGACGTCTTTACTGAAGTGCTTGGAAATTGCTCTTCTGTCCTTTTGGGTTAGAAAAAAGCTAGAGAAGCTGACAAAATCCAGAGAAACATAAGCTCGGTTGTAACGTAAAAAGTAGGGGAAGAAAAAATACACGTAACAAAACAAAGATCCCTAAAAGCGTACTTTCGGCCATTTCTCCAATAAGTCATCAGGTTTGTATGAAGAGATGTCCAATGCAAATGGAGAAATATTCTGGCCAAAAAAAAAAAGTCTTAACTTAGCGAGTAATGGGAAGGAATGAGCTGGAGGTCACAGAGATTGCTTAGAAAAGGCTGCTTCGAGCTGTTCCCATTTGAACACTGTTCTGGCTCCCTGGGGTCGCCTCACAAGCTTAGTCAACTTCTCTCTTTTGCATCATTTTCAACACACCCAAAGATATTCTGCTTTATTTTGGAAAGAGTTTAACATTTAATTCCTCTACTCCACTGAAATCTTTTGGAAATACTTTCAATTTTACTTTCCCCCCCAAATTTTAGGTTTTTCCTGAATTTTTATTTTTCGCACTGTTACTGCTTCTTGGTGTAAGGTACCTTGCTGATCTGAAACATGCCACATCCCACGAGCACAAAAGGGGTGTGCAAGTCAATGGAGTTACAATCTGAGTAGTAAGGGCAAGATATTTAATATCTACGCGCTCCCTGAAAGTCATCAGGTATCATCTATCCCCACTAGCCGAGCTAAGCTTGGCTGTACAGACTGGAAGCATATCCCAGGGGATACATAGATACATATATGTATATATACAGTATATCTATATATGCCAGTGTGTACGCACCATTTGTAGAGTCCTAATCTTTTGCTAAATGCTTAGTTTTGGTTATGTTCCCCAGAAAAGGGGAATTTGAAGGCACAGACCCCTTAAGGCTATGTTCTCTCATCCCAATCGATTTAAATCAAGGTTTGCACAGAAAGACGGTACTATTTGCAGTGCAGTCAGCCTCTGCAGAGAGAATTCATGCAAAACCAAAGGAGAGAGGCCTTTTCCCACCACTTACAGACCTTTACAACATGTTTTATTTAAAACCCCCGGGTAGCTTGTCAGATGCAGGCACCAGAAGCGCGCTGCGGAGCAGGCAGGGAGATGTCCACTGTACCAAAGTCGAGTGAGACTGATGGGCAGAGGAGGAGCCATGGGCTTCAGCCTCGGGGAGGGGGGTCCAGCTGCAGCACAGCGGAGGCAAGGTGTACTCCTGCAGAGCCGGTGCTGGCGCTCAGCAAAAGATCTCCTCACCCTCTGGCGGTGCTTCTGATGAGTGAGAATCTGGGGAGGGAAACGGGGCAGGAATCACTACTGGAATAATGGGCAGGGAAGGACCCTGCACTCCAGGAAACCCCACTGTCTGCCCACCCCACTGGGCACCTTAGAAGATTGCCAGTTCCTTGACAAGTTTTAATGAAATTACATCTCATAATCGCCAAGCCTTTCCATGCACTGAACACACAAGACCTGCAGACAGTTGATATGTGTCAGCCCATCAGCTGAGGGCACGAGATCAAACTTTTTGTGGGTCATAGGTCTGAGGTGCTCAACTGAGTCACATGGTACTGCCAAGCCATCACAGAGAATCACTGTATAGTTTCCACACTCAGATCAGGAGACAAGATACGGCTGCAGTGGTGAAAGGCAAGGCAACCAGAAGGGCTGCAGGTATTGATCATAAACGGGAAGGCACTGCTAGAGCACTCAGCAGTGCTGGAGGGCACAGACTGGAGCATCCCAACCAGAGCTTTGAAAGTAGAGGTACTGAAGGAGGGAATTTTTCTCCTCAAAGTAGGGCGAGCTGAAAAATACAGGGACAATCTGGTTTGTGCAGCTGCTCAGGACGGACCAGGGAAGGGAAGGAGTGGGGAGCACTGCGTGTCCCCGAGACACCTCCCGGGGCTGCAGAACAGGCTCCTGCAGCAGCAGCAGCAGCCACAGCCCACAGGAGAGAGACAGCTCCTTAGATAACCCTCTGCTTACTTTTGCAAAGGATGACACAGAGAACATCGCTTTAAGCTAGAAACTCCACTCATCATATCTGATTTTTTCCATCCCTCAGTGTTACCACCCCTGCTCAAGGCTAGATTTTGTTGCCTCCCCAAATTGGCTGACTGGAAGGAAAAGCCTGCCCACTGACCCCAAAAACTATCTATGATCTCTTTAGACACTCACCAGATGGTTGGGAGCGATGTCCTTTGCCCTTTTTCTTCTTTTCCTTTTTCTCCTTTGGTTTGGCTAAACTGAAGAGGCGGGTAGGCATCTGGGGCTGTCCTTCAGCCGCCTTGTTAGTCTGGTTTGTTGTGCTAAGCAAATGGAAAGTGCTTTTCTCTTTGTGTGTCCTTGAAAGACTATTCCTTTTGGGAGACACAGACAGTTCTGCATCAAAGTGCCCCTGTTTGGGAAGGGAAGGGCTTTTCTGCTTGGAGGAATCTTCGGGGCTGGGCAGGGAGGGGACTCTTGCAAGTTTCTCATGTAGATTTGAAACCTGTAGAAGAAAAAGTAGTGTTTTATTGGGGCATGAAAGGGGCTGGTAAGGAACCTGGATAGAAAAGATGTTTCCCAGATTGCTGACGGAAATAAGACTTGCTCTTCTCAACATCTAGCCCCATTCACCAGCCAAAAAACGGTCCCCCATCCAGGCAAAGCAACAAGACAAGCATCACTCTCTCAAATGTTTAAGACAAAAAGATGAAGCATAGAAAGAACAACACTTCAATATCTTTTGCTTCTACATGTACTACGCTATGTATCAACAAGCCGAGGGCAAGTATTCTGTTAGATCTCGATACCGGGACTCACCCTGCACTGTGCGTGCATACAGGCAGTGGCAGAAGGCCAAGGAGCAGTTTGCCTCTCCAGGAAGGGAACGCAGCACGCAGGACCAGGGAGGCATGTGTCAAAGGAAGCCTTCCCAAGTGAAAGATGAAAGCGAAACATTTTCCTGGTTTTTCTAACATCTGTCTCAGGATGTAATTGAACCCTCATGTATTCAAAGGGAAGATCAAAACATCAGCTCAACAGAGCCGCACCAAACCCACTGTTAAGAGCTCTGAAACATCAGCGAGGTATCTGCCTCCAAAAGTTGCTTTCTTTTCTTGATCTACCAGGCTCCACGGTTATTTTACCTCTCAGCCTTTCCCATAGCAGCCATGCTCCTATAATATATGTGTATGCTTGATGCCGAAACAGCTTTGCTGTACAATTGGACAATTTCTGGCCTGATTAGGAACGGGGGATGGTAGGGAGCAAGCACCCTTCTGATTATTTGCTATTCAGAGTTCATTGTTGAGCTCCACAATTAGCCCACTTTGGCATCCAAAATAATTTCTGTTCCACAGTCCAACATTTATAAACTAATTTTGCTACAGCTCAAAGCAAACTACATGCAGAATTAGTGAGTTATAAACAAACAAATGATCAACAACAGACTTAAGGTTCAAATTCAGCCCATGTTTTGCAAACTGATGCATGTTCTCCTCAGCCAGACTGCTGAACTGTAATAGAAAATAAAAGACAACTTGCTGCAAAACGCACAGTACAGAACAAGATCTGTGCATAGGCTTTTCTTTCTGGTTCTGGACAGCCAGATACCAGAAGACTCTTGCACCAGAGCAGGTGACCCTTTGCTTGCTGAGCCATGTCTAGGGGGCAGATGCCCAGACTCTTTAGGATAGGGGCAATGTCCATCTCTCTGCTAGATACTGAGAATGCTTTTGGAGGCTGGCATAAGCATGAACTGCAAACAACAAGGAAATAAGACTTGCTCTGTAGTTATCAGTCCTTTACTTCATAGGAGCTTGCAAGTGGCTTCTGGGACAGTAGGAGTGAGCAAGTAACCAGCAGTGCCTGGACTGTCTGTGAGAATAAATTCTCATTTGCCTAATTGCTTTGCAGAGTTGAGCCCTTATGGGGAGAGGGCCATCGTGAAATGCAATACATGCCCCCCCTGGATTTTCTAGTGTGCTTTCCACAATCCAGCCACCTCTGTTCTGCCATTTGCCTACAGATGACCACACAGGCAAGCCTCCCACAGAGACAAGGCATTACAACTGCGCATTTCTCTGGGAACTGTCAAGGAGCCTGAATGCACAACATTGCATCAAGGCCCTGCATACAAGGGACAGTAGCTTGGTAGCTCTTAAGGTGCAACCAATGCAGCACTGAATATCACATGCAAAAGGAAAAAGCCAGTTTTAAAACTCAGGCCCTGTGTTTCTGGATCCAGACTTGAGTTCATCTCTTTCTGCCCCACTGCGGCCAGCCTGGCAGCTGGTCGAGTGCCTGGAGACAGGCGGCGAGCTCTCAGCAGAGCTCAGCATCCCAGCAGCGTGGCTATTGGCAGCATTTACCTGGTTGTGGTCAGGCTCCAACCGCGTTTGAGGTAATCGCTCCATGTCTCTCTTGAGCTGCTCCTTTTCCCTCTCCAGCTGTTTCTGTGCTGTACGAAGCCTCTCCAAGTCAAGCTGGTAGGAAGCTTTCTTCACTTGCAGCTCTTCCCGCTCCCGTTCAAGATCCTGACGTCCTCTCTGGACCTGCTCCTCTCGCTGGGCCAGGTGGGCCTCCTGCTCTGTCAGCTCCTTTTCCCGGGCCTCCCACTCCTTCTCTCGCCTCCGCTTCTCCTCCTGGTGCTGCGCCTGCTGCTTCTGCAGGTTAGCCAGCTCCTGGCGCTGCTTCTCCAGGTTGCGCTGCTTCTCCTGCTCTATCAAGGAGTTTGGCCGGGAGAGGCTTCGGGTCAGTGCTCTCTCACTCAGAGCCAGCTTCTGGTCCTCGATGAAGGTGTCCTGCTGCAGCACCACAGCCTGAGAAGGGAGACAGAAATCACTGCAGCCATCTTCAGAGAAAGCAGCTCCATCCCTGGGCAGCTCATGGGGACACACTGCACAATCACTTCATCCTCTGGTGTACCATAGCCCAACACTGCTGGTTTACTGCTGGGCAATTACAGGACACAGTCATGGCACGTTTACTGCCACAGACTAGGTCTCACAATTTCCCCCACCGGCTTCCCAAATTCACGCTAGCTCTGGTCTGTCAGCTGCTCGCTTAGGCAGCAGCTAATTCCTACCACTCTGGCAGGACACTGCGCTCCAGCCTGCTGCAGACTATTCAGCAATGTGGGGATAGGAAAGGTGAGCAGGTAGGAGGGATGGGGGTGAAGCGTGAGTCCCCACTACCAGCCGAGGGGATGTGCAGTTTGGGTAAGCGTCATGCAAAAGCTGAACAATGGCGGGCCTACCTGCAAAGCACTGAGCAGCTTATGGAGGTTGGTGATGCTTTGGAGAACCTGCTGCAAGGGAACAAAAGCACTGCTATTAGACCTCACTTTGGTGCCCGGACACCAGTAAAGCACTCTCTTTCCCACGAGGACCCCTCTCTTGAGCCAGAGAGTGGAGGGCTGTGGCCGTCCTTCCACCCCAACTTTCCCCTTTCTCATGCTTCACCTGCAACAACTGCATCCCCCCCACCGCTGCACAAGCTGGCCACAATGCTTCACTTAGACACCTCAGAGGTGCCTAGCATGGTTTTCCTCACTTTTCCAACAATCGGTGCAGCAGGCTGTCATTTAAAAACCTGCCTGCAGTCCCTGGAGCTCACAGACTGCCATGCGAAGGAAACGTATGCAGCAGCACAGACCTCATGGGAACTCGTGGGGTATCTCTTTGAACCGTTTCCCACAGCATCTCATGAATAAACAGAGCAACTGGGATGAACTCATTTCAAGTTTTCAGAGAAATAACTTGAACTCATTCAACTGGGATGAGTTCATTTCAAGTTTTCAGAGAAATAACTTCAAGAAGTAAAAAAGGAGAAATCTTAGGATGAACCTATCCTGTTTGCACCCTCCTTCCCTCAGATGACCCATACAACCCCCACTGTCATTGAATATGAAAACTGTGGCCAAGAAAAAAAAAAAAGGCAGACATAAACTCAGCAGGTATATTCATGGAGGCTCTCTAAAAACACAGGTGAAAGCTAACACGTTATGCACTGATACAGCGCCAAGAGCAAGCTACTTTGGGGTGATACTCTATCCCTAAACATATTTTTAGCCCAACTACAAATTTCTCTGAATCCTGTCTATCCTATAATTACTTTTAAGACCACAACAAAAACCTACCCGAAATCAACCAACAAAATCAGCAGTATTTGCAAGAGTTGGGTGATAGCTACTATTAAGAGATTGGCTTCTCATTCTGCCATTAATGCTAATTGGGAGTTATGAATGCGTATCAATGAGAGAACAGAAATCTAATTGCCTCAATTCACTGCACCTGCAACATACAATTAAACTCCCTCTATCTGCAGATGTACAATAAATACAGTCCTGCACATCCTAGCAGTAATTAACCCTTGATGACCATAATCAGCACATATCATCCTGCTGGCAAGCAAAGGACAGTGAATTCCCTGTCTGAACATCCAAGGTTAAACTAATAAATGACACTGTGGGTCTAGTTTAATGTATTTAAAAGCCTACATGCACTTCAACATATAAAATGCATTTTCTCCTATGTTATCATCTATTGAGACAAATTCACGTCGCACTTAAATGAAGGAAACATTTAGGCAACAGAATCGGTTCTTACCTCGTTATTCCTTTTCAACATGAACATAAGATTAGCATTTCCACCCTATGAAAAGATCACATAATTTTAATATGAGGACAAACGAGAAATCACAGCAAACGTGTTTTGAAGCAACTAATGACAAACACATTAAAACCCTCCCGTTTTCCATTCTGGAAGAATTCATGTATGTTTTTTAGGCAAGTAAAAATCATATAAAATTACATGTTAACTAGGGATCATTTTGTGTGACTGATCCACAGCAAGAATGGACGCAAGATTATATTTGACCTTGACATTTCAATAATGATGCATAATTAAACACATGTTTTAGTTGATCTGCAGACAGATGGCAGATAACCTATGTCACAAAGGAGTATTACTCATTTGACATGGTTTTCAAGCGAAGATTTTAGCTACAGCAAAGTGGTTTTGACTACACACTTCCAATTTTATTTCATTTTTAACTTTTTATGGTATAGCTAATCATAAAGAAATACCTTCTTTAAAATGCTGTCTGATTCTGTTCTCCGAAGGTCCTGAGCATCGTCACCTTCATCCTTATCTCCACCTAATGGAAGGAGTCAGCATTGACAATGGTAATTTAACATTTTAAGCCACAGATGAACTTGCTATTATCTAAGAAATTTAATACAGGAAACTGAGATGTTTTGCAAAAGGTCCACAGATCTCTTGACACTAACTAAATGCATTTGCTCCCTGTGTTTACAGAATATGCCAGCACCACCAGAAAAAGTGGATGTGAACTCAGATTAGGACTGACTTTGGTTTCAAACAACGTGCTGATAAATTTCAGCATGCTCCTTTTAGCTCTGCCTATCCCCCAAACCAGCTTCTACTCCAGAAGAGTATTTGCTGAGAGGACATGAGATCGATTAAGACCAGATGGAGAGCAATAACAATATCCTATCAGGGTATATTATTGCAGGTAAAGTTTCAGTGCTCCCTGTCTAAATGGGATTTACAGCAGCATCAGATGCTGGGTCAGATAATGCCGTGCAACTTTTTGCTAACAATTTCTCCACAGCTTCAGTCATTAGAAACCTGCATTTTCAGAAGGACACTGGACCTCTCTTCCTAATTTCCCCCTGGATGGCTCATATCAGTGCTCCCAAGTTCAACTGAATTGACCAGCAGGGCTGAACGGGCTGTAGCCCATGCCCAGATGACCGCAGCCTGCTCCCGCGGCAGGGAAGCAGTCACACAGCTCTTCAGTCCCCCATTTCTTGCCCAGATGTGTGCACCCTGCTGGATGAGACGCAGTCCACGGCGGAAAACCCCAGCTGCTCTGATAACACTCCTACTGCTTCTCTTTCAATTATAAACAACATAGCATACACCTGTATTTGCAACAGCATGAAGGATACCAGAGCTAGTCCAAAGGCCCTCTGCTCCCCTGTCCCCGAGGCAGGCTTTGCTACAAAAGGCTCAGTCCTCCTCCTGTGCCTCTCTGCTGGAGGAAAATGCCTCTCTGCAGCTTTGCTGGGGCGCAGAAGGAAGGAGAGTGAGATTACGAGCCTTGCCCAAGGCTGCACAGGTTGTGGAACCGGAGATGAAAGCAGGCTTTCCCACCTCCTGCTCTACAGCTGAAGAAATGGGCCCTGCATTCCTTCCCTCAAAACCTCCCAAGACTCTACTACTACTGAATTACAATCTAATTCAAAAGAGGCTATTTCCACAGAAAACCCAGACAGTATAGGGGGCGAGCTAGGCTATGAGCAGCCTGAGGTTGTCCCATTTTTCACTGCAACACAGAGAGGCACAGCCCTAGACAAACCCCTCCAGCTCTCAGTGTGAATGTATTTGTCATTACGATGACAAGGCCTGTTGGGAGCTTTGCAGCTTTCCAATGGCTGAGGAAATCTCTACATACTTCTCATGTCTGACTCTCTGGAGCTAACACTGCTCCTTTAACGCAGGAGGTCAGACAGGGGCCCTACAATCCCAATGCTGAGAGACAGACACTGGCACAGCGTAACTGACAGTATCAGGAGCATAATAAGTGAGAGCAAAGAGCAAGGAATTTGGGGACACGGAAGTTTCTGATGAGGGGGGCAAAGAAAGAGGGCATTGGGATGCAGTCAGCTAGACATCTGAGACAAACATTCTCTCATTTGTTTGGGGAAGGCTTTACTGCAGGAGCAGCATGTGCAGTTGTATGTGGGATACAAATGCACAGGGAGCACAGGGATGGGGGAAGGTGCTTTATTTCAACAAAACCCTTGTGTGTCTGCAAATGGAAGAGTACCAGAGACCAGCACTCCTCCTGCTGGGAGGTAACCGGAGACTGGAAAACAGAGCTGCAGTTATTGCAGCAGGAAGAAGAACACAAAGAAACTGATCTATAAGAAAGCCAAATGTGTGGCACGTGTATAGAAGGAAGCATGATTTAGAGCAAGGAGAGAGAAGAGAGTCAGGAGTTCAGGTGTTTAATCCTCGCACAGCTATGCGTTTTCAGTAAGCATCATTCCCCCTGCTCATTTTCTCCTCTGGGTATTTGATCTAGCTACTGTTATGGGAGGGGAGCTGGCAAATCAGAATCTACCAGCTGCTGGAGTCCTTCTGAAGCAAGAGGCCACAATGACATTACGTATTATTAACAAGTGCTGATACGCACACATTTAACTACTCACCCTTGGAGGCATTCATCTGATGACTGTCAAATCCTCCAAAAGTTTCTGCCCGTCTAGGGAGAGAGATGGGGCCAACTCCTCCTTCTTGTTCGATGGCAGTGCTGCTGACCTGCTGTCCAAGGGCACTGCCTAGGCTCCTGCTCACCAGGCTTTGCAGCAGTTCAACTGGAAGGATAAAAAGCAATAATATCGCTATTAAGGACTATCTCGGGCTTTCTGAGCCATTTTCTTCCCAACTGAGCTCAGGCCAGAAATTCACACACTTTTCAATACTACGAATTATTAGTTCTATGACAATGGCATGCAACAGTGCATGTTTCCCCCTGTAAAAACAGTCTGTCTGGGTACTACATCCAATACCTGGAGTTCTGCACTGGCTTACACCCCCCTCCCTTTCTCCAGGCAACCCTAGCATGCTCTGACTACAGTATTTAGTAATTTTTACCCTCTCCAGAAATCACACTGGAAAGTTGCCCAAATTTTCATCTGCCCTTGGATTTGCTAACAGACTTGCATGTCCCTTGTAGCACCAGGAAAGCCTGCTGGAACTGGAGCCCATCTCTCACACCGCATTACCTTGCTGAGAACGAAGCACAGCAAAAGGCAGGAAGGCCCAAACTTCACACAAGGATGAAATCCTGGGCTGCCTCGACCCTAGCCCACGTTCAATGCAGCATCGTTCTCTGTGCTAGCAGCTCTTTTCTGCCCTCCATCTAATAGCCATCACTATCTGCTTCCTTTCCTGATCCTCATTATCTGTCCCTGACACAATACTCACAACTGTGAGTAGCAATGTCTATCTATGCTTTATGCTGTTATTCATTCACTGAGAAAGTGATGACTCCCCCTGAAAAAAACACGCTTGAGAACTGATGGATTCACTGCGAATTGGATGTGTTGGTCAGTGTAATTAATGTACATCCCAGGCTCGCTCACCTTCATTTATTGCACTTTTCATAATGGCCTCTCCTTTTGGTGCCTCCTCTGTGTTGGCTCTGAAGAGCACTCTGGAGCCTGGCAGGTCCTCTTGCACAGAGCAGTCTGCCATGTCCCTGAAGATCTTCTCCTTCTCCTCCAGCAAGATGAGGATCTGCTTATCCTTCTGCTGAAGTTGTTCTGTGGGGGTGAACAGAAAAACACAGATGAAGACAGAAAATAAAAGCTTCAGCAAAGAAACTAAAGCAATTCTTGAGATATTGGCCCCATCTAGTGGAACATGAGGATACAGCCCGGCCCTGAACAACACTACAGCGACAGCATTCAGCAAACTCAGAAACAAGGATGCAAACACAGAGGGGCAAACAAGGATTTCAGTTATTTGATGGACGCAGGATTCTCATTTCCATGAAAAACTCGTAGTTCAACCAGGCACACAGGAAAAGGGTCATGAACCCCATCACTACAATTCCTGGAAATTTTTCAAAAAATGCCCCCCAGCTCTGTTCTTCTGTCCCAGGCAGGTGTTTACCTTTCAGTTCTCTCACTTTTGTGTCCGACACTCTCTTTTCCAACTCAGACTCACTAGGGACTCCTTCATCTTCATCTTTATCCCTGGATGAGAGAAGCACACCTCAATTACTACCATAACATGACTCTGTGCAACAGCCGCCCTGCCAGAACAGCATGGTAGCTCACATTGTATTTATTGTGTCTTGAATGATCTGTATCCAGCTGCTGCGCTCTTCCTTGGAACTGGCATGGACTTCCACCATTTCGGGATCTTTGGCACCCATGCTGATCAGGAACAAACCCTTCTCTTCATGCGCCACTTCTCGTACGATCAGCTTCTTCAGAGAGATCACAGTGGACTTCTGGTCCTTCAGATGGAAAGATGGGTGAGGAGGGCAAAAAGTACCAGAATTTTTAGATCTAAACTAGTGTTCAAAACCTCCCAATACCAGTAGTTACCTCTCTCACATCGCAAACGTTTTCTGAAGCTATTGGCTAATTAAGAAGTATAGCATTTTAAGAACAAGGGTTTGTCTTAGCCTCTATCAGCCCTGTAGGAAAAGCCATTTCACCTTCTTCCAAACCAACAACAAATTAATTTAAAATTGGCTTTGTGGTTCTGCAAAATTTGCCATGTTTTGCTCTGCCTGCAGCAGACCTTTTATCTCATCTCCTCCTGCCCACACGCTATACTCTAATCAGCTCTTTAAACTTAGTGAAGCTTGCTAGCGCCTGCTTCACAAACACTATCTTGGCAAGGGTTCCCTAGGATGGAATGATATCTTATTTTCAAATCCCATAAAAGCCCTACTGTTCTCCGCAGCTTATAACTGACTCCCACAACAGACCAGATTTCTAGGGAAGACGACGTACACTGTGTGCTACAGTCCCTTGTAATCAACCCGCTTAGGTGAAAGCTCCCCCTGTGTAGAGCACCAAGTTTGTGTAGAACATTGAGGGAGCTGGAATGACAGACCACAGCTTTCGAAACGTTGTTCAAAGGGTGGAAGCAACACAAAGAACAGAAAGTCTAAACCATGCCTGCAAAGTGCAACCCCAACAGATCCAATGAGCTACGAGATTGTCCCTAGCCGGTCAGTGTGCTGAGCCCTTTTACGAGGCCTGCCTTCAAAAGCTAATGCTTTTGGTTTCATGCATTACATTCCTCTGACATTAATTTGTAAGCTGTTCTGATGAATTTACTGCAGTGGCAGTTTTTTTTTCCCCCTTAGCAATTCATAATGTATTAGGACGTTTTCTTCTGCTAACATTCATTTTTTACGATGTTCACATTATCCCATTACCTGCCGCCCCCCCAGTCACTGCTTCAATTTGCACAGACTGAAAAGGAGTAAGTGTATCAAGGGGCAGGCATATTTTCAAGGCCAATTATCAGCTGTGCCAGGGCACTGCAGAAATCACTGAGGGGAGGTGGGGGATGAAGACATGTTTTCTAATAGCAAAGAATGGAGTCTGCTCAGGGAACAAAAATGTTATAAGCAACATAAACCTAAATGCCAAGAACGACGTTCTTTAGCAGGTTAGCAGGCAACGGCGGGCTTCACTGCAGGACACGCATCAAGGATCTCTCAAATAGAAAAGGAAAGAAAAGAATATGCTGAAGTCTTACCAGTGAGGCAAAGACATACTTCTGGTCCTTCTCCTGAAGGAAGACGAGCATGTCAGAGAGGAGAACAGCCTGGACTTCTGCAAAAGAAAAAGCATACCAAGGTGTTATAGCTATGCTACCCGCTCCTCAACAGCTTTATCTTTTTAAAACACCAATGTCCTAGCTGTTGGGGAGCATTAGGGCTGTTTTTGCAAATCCTAGAAGTGGAATCAGTCCTCTGTGCTGTTCGGTCTCCTGGCTGGCAGAAGCAGCAGCTCCTGCAGCAGCAACAGCAACAGCTCGTGTAAAGGCAGCGTCAGATTAACTCTGAAGCAACTTCTTCGTGCTATGGACTTCGTGCAGGACTCCTACCTTATCCGTCTCAGCTGCAACGCTCCTCTCCAGTCACAAGCTATCTGATGGTTATGGCAAGGCAGAAGAACGAAAGCTAGAGACACTCACTGAACCTAACCACTGAAACAATCAATATTTTGGCCCTTGAGCAAGAGAGATGCACAAGAAGTCTTAGGTTTTATGGTTCTCTTGACCAGTGGTTTGCGGAGTGCAAATCATCATGCAAGAGCAGCATTTGTAAGCTGTAATTTCTTTCCCAGGAAATACTGACTTAAGGAACCACCACTAATTTTGCTCACAGACAAATATAAACTCTTGCTAAATCCAAGGGGAGGCATTTGAGCCTGCACGAGACACAGGACCTGGGTTTCTTCTGTAGGAGAAGAAAGCACAACATTGAGCGAACGGAAAACTTTAAATCAGAATACAGACTTTTCCCAAAATACACATACAGCCTTCCAAGTCCCCTCATGCTGTATCATATTAAGGTTGCACACGAACTATCAAGTATATTGCCCCACCTTTATCCCTCAGTACAAAGAGGTTTTTTGTAATATAGTTGGGAAATCTTACGAGAGAGGTGAAGCAAACCAAAAAGATAAATCATCCCATGAGTAATTCCTTCCATTCTGTTTTGACAGGATACAAACCATCTCAGATAAAGAGCCACCAAACTTTTATCAAAACTGCAAAACGAACTCCAAGCTCTCTGGAGGCTTGTAGAAGTCTGCACTTCATTCCATTCTCCCCTGTTGTCGTATTTTTTATGCACTGTGTGAGAGGCGAAATGCTAAATTCCCCCAAGGAAAGCTCTTCCTGTGCTCCTCTTTGCAACATTTCAAATTCCACAAAACAGCGTCTCTGAACTGCCTGCTCTCCTACTGGATTCTCCAGATTGTCCGCAGGACCTGTTTTCACTGGGAGCTTACACTACGCACTGAGGTAAGGGGGGCTGTGACTTAGAAACGCAACGGCAGCCTGTACTTATCACAAGATTTCACAACAGCAGCATGACTTGCTTCATCCACCCTCTAAAGTCAGTAGTATCCTTGGGAGCTTAGAAAACATCTGTAAACTTCCTGTTTCCAAAACCTCACGATCAATCATATTCTATCTTGAATTTAGTATATCTCTGTCTCATTGCACAGCATAACACCAAACAGCTACCAGATGCCACTCATCCCCAAGTACGGGGGTTTTAAACAGCTGATGCTGAGAGGGAGAGGGGGAAAAAAAAGCCCAGTCTTTCTGAAAAGTCTAAAACAGAGCATCGTCTGCTCTTAGCAGTACCGTGGTCCTAGCTTAAGGTCTCCTTGGGAGATTTAGTGCTTAATTCAATAGCAAATGTCAGTGCAATGCTTTGCTTAGTAGAGCAAGGCACTTTAGAAAAATTATTTCCATTAGATAACAAACAAAAAACAATTCAAGAGAACCAGTAACCAATAATACACATGAAACCAAGTTTGAGGAAGCTGCAGGGACACCAGAGCCTCTCCATCCTCCTCACCTCCCCCCTAGTACAGTGTCAGTTTGCCTCAGCAGCTCAAGCAGTCTGAGAGAAATACATGTCCAGGACCCTGCTCTGGAGTCGTCGGTGGGAGAGGGGACATCGCTCTGAGCCCAGACAGCGCTACTGCAGGCCTTTAGACCAAAGGAAACGCAGCACTGCTTGTGGGCAGACACTTCAGGTTTGGTTTCAGCTTCAGCATGTGCTTCCTGGAATCTTGGCACATGCGTATTTAGGTGCAGACACATGACTCAACGCTCTGGGCAAGTGTAGCGTCATAATGTTCTCATGACCCAAAGCATCCACTGGTAATTACGTTCCTCAGCTGATACACTAAGACGCCATTTCCTTGCGAGCCTTCAGCAAGCATCCAGTCATAGGGTGGAAAAAAACAGCTGCCACCTCAGAAACAGCTCAAGGTATCAGAAATGCTAGGATGGGAATTGAATGCAAAGCAAGTGGAAAGCCACTGTAAAAATCTCTCAAACCAGAAGAATAAATAACCACTGGAGATGGCAAGTCTGAGGAAGAATTCTACACCCAACAATCGCAAGGCAAGATATTCTTACCTTTCAACCGGCTCGCTGCATTTTTCAGTGAAACAGGCCCATCTCGGATGAGCTTCCGATGCCGCAAGTCCTCTCTTGCAAACATCTGGCCGCTCTTCATCCTCATGATGGACTTGCTATCTGTCCGGTTGTAAATCTCATCAAGACGCATTTTCTTTTCATAATTGCTGACTTTGCTATTGACCGCAGCAATCACATCTTTAACAAGGTTTAACGACTGAGTCAAGTCTTGATGTTCCACTTCATTTTCTTTGAACAAAAACAGAAACACCTCCATTTCACTTCATCCCTGTGTGGATTCTAACTTTCCACTTCTGCTCCCTTCCTTCCTTCCTTTCATCCATCCCAAATTTGTGTACTGCAACTTTTTAATGCTTTCCTGAGATAGATTACATTTTCTCCTCGTAAGGAGAATTTCACAAGCCTTTTCACATATATGGTTGAGGTTCAGGGCTACTCCAATATACTCTGCAAACAGACAGAATATATGAAATGCACAAATTGATCACATATTCCAGCCATTACCCAAAAGAACAGGCTGAGAGATTTCTGCATCTAAGGCTGTCGCCCCATAATTATCTAGGGATAGACTTACGTCAGCTAAATCATGGCAGCCAAATAACTAATCCTGAAAGCAGACATGAAACCCAGTTGTTTAATTATAGTAGTACTAGACAGTAATGACAATTCTAAGAAAATCTACTTCAGTTGAAAAGGATCCAGGAAACTTACACCATATGAACCCATACCTAGGAAAGAGGAACTGGTCCCTACCTTTGGTGTACTGCAGTATCCTTTGTAACAAGACTGGGTACTTTGTGATTCTCTGTGTTACCAATAAGATACACTCAGGAATCCCAAGACGTCTCACCACCGAGCTGCTCATTTTTTTCTAAGGAGCAAAGAAGAAAATTTCAATTCTGGTGAGTGAACTGCTCATCAGAGTGCAGAGAGGATACGCTTTTTGCATCATCTGTGAATCTTCTATCAGGTCCTACCTTGACAAATGCCTGAAACCGCTTGTCCTTTGAGTACAGATCTTTGAAGTTATTTACAGCCTCATTGTGATGCCCGCAGAACTTGCCGTACGTTTTCTTCATTCGCTCAGCACTCTCACCAGAGAACTGCAAGAGATAAGACACAAAAATCTATCGAGCTCTTGGCACAATATCCCATCACTACCTGTCAGTCTCTCAAAAGAACTTTACGGGACCAGATCAGTCCAAAACATGCTAAACTAAGCAATTAACCTCTACAATTTGAAGAGCTGAGTTTGGGACTTCACTGCATTCACACTGAATTAACACAAAAATCTAGGATTCCACCTCAGAGGGCTTAAAAGCCCCTCCAAATGTCAAGATGAACAAAAGGAGCAAAGGAGAAAATACAGGCGTAGAAGAGTAGAAGGACCCACCCAAAGTTATACAGCAGGTCAGTAACTCAGCCAAGAAATAGGACTTGCGCACCTACAGCTGTGGGCTAACGGTCTATCCTCCAGGTTATGGTCGAACTGTTCTGCACTATTATGGAACGTGTTTCTCCCCCACAATATAAAGACAACAGATTGTCATCGTTATACCTTGTCCTGAAAGAGCTCAAAGTGCTTAAAAAAGCAGAGGCAGATACATGGAAAGCAAAGGCACAATCAGCTGTGGTTATCTAATTAGTATAAACAGGAAGGAAGGAGGAGTAAGAACCTGAGAGTGCTTGGTTTCCAGCTATACTCTCAGAAAAGGTAATTATTCTCCAGAGCTCACCTGATTCACCAGGATGTCACCTATCCTCTTGATAACAAAGTTCTTCTCACTTTTGTCTGCCAAGGACTCCCTCTTCCTTTCCAGAATCCGCTGGAAGAAGTGACTGTGGATGTGCAGCAAGTTTTCCAGGCAGGGGAAGATCTTGTCTACTACATGTTGATCATACTGCAGCTCCTTTACCATCCCTGCACTGTATACATCATTCATTATCTTCAGGGTGCGGACATGGTGCATTTCTGTCTGCATTAGCTCTGTATAGGATGAGGACAAGGTCAAAAACATGCTTACTGCAGAGGACTTGGATGTACGGCACAACGAAAAGCTGTCAATAGAAAGCCCTGCTATGCAAGCTTCTCTAGAGTGGCTTTCGAAAATTTAAATGATGTCAGGTATTCAGGTATCATTCAATAGCTTTACCTTTGGCAGAAACACGGGGACAGAGTAGCCCAGCAACTAAGAGCTTCTGACGTTGCTGCTAAGGTCTGAACCTTTCACATTGTTATCTCAACACCACACTTCCAGCCTCAACATAGTTCATTTTTGTTGCAATACAGGATGGCTCTTGTATCAGGAAGGAGAAGACACTGATAAAATTAGCTAGCTGCTCTGTCATAACTGGGTTTAAATGCCCTAAGCAGACAAGTGAGGAGAAACAATTTCTTTGTTTCTCCTTTTTTTTTTTTGGATGGCTTCTGCATACAAAGGCAGAAAGACAAAACCTTCACAGAAAATTAATTTTCTAAGAATTTTAAGAACAAAACTTTGGCTTCTGAGAAACCAAAGTAAATGTTCCCATTCATTGGTATAAAGCTTCCCAAATAGACGTATATAAGAAGTTATCTAAAAATCAATGAAAAATTAAAACATGGGTATGTCTCACCGTAAATGACATCTTGCCGTTTGACAATATCTTTCTTCTGCTGTCGTAAGAACTTGCTGTCCACTACTTGGCTCCAGGATTCTGCCTCCAGCTGCTTCGAATCTAGTTCCAAGTCTCCCATCAGCTGTCCTTCATTCATGTCTGCACCTTCACAAAGCAACACAAGTATTACGAAGATGCAGATAACTTGTCTCATTTGAGATTCCTGCTTATTCAACACGTTCAGACATTCTTTGTCATGCCACCAGCATCATACACATTCTCCTTTCCCGATACAGAAATGATTATATGGAATTATATCAAGTAAGGACTATGTTACGAAAATCACTTTTAAAGGTAATTTGGTCACTGCACAAAAGTAATTCACAATTTTCACATAGACCAAATTCTAACTCAGATAAAAAATAATGAATCATTAATCTGTGCTGTAATGGCACAGTAATCAACACACAATTTGCCTTCATTTATATCGCTAAATGGAGAGAACTTAGAGCTACGTAAAGTCTGTATTTTCAAGATTAGAAAGGTAGAATTACTGCAAGTGGAGCTGAACGCTGCATATATTACATATATATATATACACACACACACACACACACACACAAATATATATAAGCAAGATTGTCCAGCATGTCCTTGTTTAGTTCTTTTCAGGTACATACTGTAAAAATATTGATTATACCTTGGAAAACTTCAGGAATAAAAAATGATTATAGTTGAGAAATGAATTTAACTGCATTAACTGATGTAACTTTTGAGAGCAAAAAGCTAAACAGTACCCTTCTTCCCTCCCTGCTCTGGGGGAAAAAACCTACCAGCATGGGAAAAACAAAAACGAACAAACAAAAAAAACCAAAATAGGTAGCTGAAATGAATGGGCCAGAAGAACAGAATGAAAGAGGAAATACTTGTCCCTGAGCTAAATTCCAAGTAACGCAACCGTAACTGAAACCTTCCATAAGTTTTCCCACAACTCAATAGGCTCAATAGGCCCCTACTATGTGGGGCCTTGCTTTAGTTTGTCACACCAACATTGTTATATCAAAGTCATTACACTTCAATTGTCCATTAAAAAGAAAAACTCATGTTGAAACATCAAAATGGATTTTCTATTTTTGGAAAGCAGCATTGAGGCCTTCCTGTCCTTACATATGCCATGAGGATCTCTTACCCTCATCAATTAGTGATTCCATGGATTCGTTCACCCGGCTGATTTTATGCAAAGAGTCTGTTGACTGCGACAGGAATTTCCAAGTATGTATTAAGCTGTCATCATTGCCCACTCTGTAGATAAACAGAGACACAGAATGTAGTTCAGGACATCAAAACCCAGTCAATAGCCTTTTCAAGGATACAGAAGAAATGCCGTTTTAAATGCAAACGTAAAGCCAAAGTAAGCGTTGCCTAGTTACACACAGAAACGTACTTCTATTGTTTTCTAATGACTACACAACAGGACTAAAAAGCTATAAGATCTAAGCTTTCAGGTGATGGGGCTTCCTCCATAAAGAATGTTGAACAGCTAAGGTTTTATGATCTGGACAACTTCTTTTCATTGCTTTCCATTTTTATACTGTTACTTCCCCTCCTCATTTTGGTTGGGATAGGCAGTGACCAAAGTGCAATATGGAAGGCCGTCCAAGAGCCTTTATCACTAGCTCTAAGCATGATTAGAAAAACGAACGGAAATAAATTTCACAGTGAATCCCACAATACCCAGGGAATGTCAAGGAACCAGAACACCCCAGTCGATGCTACTGTCCCAGAAGATAAACAGTTGACTGTATGTGAAATTGCTCAGTACTCAGGTAGTGTAGGAATTACTATGTCTTTTTGTAATCAATTATGTATAATGCATTCCTAAAACATCATGAAAATCTTCAACTCTGTGCATCCACCCTATCGTTATGGACACAAAAGTTAATACAAGACTGGAGATGTAAGTAAGCGCTCACATCATACCAAACCCACGGTAAGAATTTCTTCCTGGAGCTCAGAGCATCTCTGTGAAGCTGCCGTGAATGTAAAACGGCCAGCTCAGATGCCTCTGAAGTGAAACCACAGCTAAATCAACTCACAAAACCTGACTGTGCATAAAAGCTAATTGCAATCATATATAATATGGGTATTTCTGATGCTGTAATCCTCTTTCCTACCTTTAACACAGATCATACTATACAAACCTATTTTTAATGAGATCTGATTTTTTTTTATGCTCACAGCATCAGATCATACACATATACTTGCAGGCACAGTGAGGAACCTTACCCTGCAATGTTCTGTATGGAGACACTCTTTGAAAGTGCTGTAGTCTGTTGTGATCTCCTGTTATTGAATATCGAGGTTACGGTGTTTTCATCAGGAGCAAGTATTGCAGAGCGCGGGCGCTCCTTAGGCTGCGAGCCTAGAAGGGAAGACGCAACGGTGCTGTCAACTGCAACAGTGATAACTTAAAGGAATTAGGCCCTAAAATTCACTTCCTTTTCTCTCTAGGATCATCACCAGCTGATCCTAAGTGATTAGAAACAGTCATAACTCCTGAAGTCTGAGGTTTCTCGCTCTCCTGAACCACTACTGTGGTGTGAATTAACGTAATGCAGGATTTGGTCATGAAGTCCCTAATTAAGGCAAAGTCCCACTCACTTTGGATTTTTGCTCAAATAGAAAAATGCGAGTATTAGGTGCTCAAATACCTTTTAACACAGTCTAGGTCTCCTGCACAGTATTAATGCAGTATGATTGATGTGAGCTATCCAGGAAACTTTATCCTCTTACGACATAACATGCTTAAGTCTAATTCAATTCTACTGCACTGTAAGAAAACCAAAGACAAGGACTTGTTAACTGTTATCTTTTCTGTGATAATAACACAGCTCAGCAGCATTCCTGTGCAGAGAGGCAGGGTCTGAACCCTTCTTACCAAACTAAGCACTACTCTTTTCAAGAAGGAAAGAAAATCAACTCCTTTGTGGGGCTGACTGTACTGCACTGCACTTGCACATAAGAGATGGGTCGAATCTGCAGGTCCAGAAAGGTATTTTTGGAGAACTGAATTTAATTTTATTTAATGAATAATCACACGTAGCAACCTACTGTGTTGCTTTTTAGTTTCTCTGGGCAAGGAGTTCCTTCTTCATGCTTCTAGTGAAATCTTCTGAGCCAGGTCATACTACCAGTACACACCACAGAGACACACCAGTCCCTATCCCCTTTCACAGAAGTGAACAGCCATTTTCTCCTACTTTCAACTAATCTTTCCATCTCAATTTCAAATGCTGCCTTCCTCAGATGGCTTTCTAGTTTCTAGAGTGGTACTTCAGAATTTCCCATAAAACCCACAAAGGGTACACCTACACCAAACAGTGTGGTACGACACAGTGATCTCCAAGCTAGAACAACTAAGCTTGTCTAATCATGGTACTACAGAATCTATGTGGGCTATTTCATTTTCACTTCTCACCCCTCAAGTCACTTCAGGTAGCTCTACAGCACAGTGTATATCCCTATGCCAGCATGCAGAATTTGTCAGTATTGCTCCTGTTCAAAAATTAATCTTTCTGTTTCTTACTACATCAAAATATAAGAATATTCCAAAAGTTATTTTAAACAAACACCTTCTCAACTTGCTATCTTAGCTTTTCATGTTAATATAATATCCGTAGCCAGATTCTTTTCAACATCAGACACACATGAACATAAGCTACGTCTTCCAGATTTTGTGGACTTATCAGCTGTAGCCCTTGGGGAAGTCAGAGCAGCCAAGCAGCTATTCTAAACTTAACATGACTTTACATTTGCTTAAAGTTACTTGGACAGTGCAGAAGTGGAGAAACTGTCTGCACAACTGTAGCACAACTTCTGAAATCCTAAACACGGCTTATCATGCCCAGAGGATGCTCTCATCCCTGTATTATTAAAGGTTTGTCTTTCATAACATGCAATATTAGCTGGTCATAACAGTTAAGAACAGCAGCTAGAGACCACCACCAACACAGAGGGAAGAGAAGCTTACTTACTTTTGTTTCTCATGGTTACTGTGGGTAATGAAGAGGTATCATGTGCCTGCAGCATCCCTTTCTGTGGCTGAAAGAAAAAGGAAATTCACGGTAACTTCTCCTCCCTTTCCCCATGAGGCTGTACCACCTAGCTAAAATTAAAAAGCAATGTTTTTCTGAATCCTCTCAGAACAGATTAGTCCTTGGGTACATACAGACGGCATTAAAACCCTCATCAGCTGCAGTAGTTGCCATCAGTGAAACAGGCAAAATCACAGAGGGACAAATGTGCAATAAATAGTAAAATGGAAAGAAAAAGGATTGACATTACTAAAGAGAACAACTAAAAGTCATAGAGGAGATTTTCTCATTCTCCTCATAACTGTATTGATTATTGATTCACAGTTGTGCTAGCTTGGAGAGCCATACTGCAGAAGAGATCCCTCACATCTGGGGCGAGCATGATTCTGTTCTTGACACACATGAACATAAACCTCACATAAACAGCACGCCTACTTAACACGCTCACCGCGGCTGCTGCATTCTCATTCACTCTCCAACACCAATCTAAACCTGCCCCCGTTTCAAGAAAGTCAGCTTTTAGTTTCTATTTTTTCAGCTGTCAAGAGGGGTAACAAAATTAATCTACGAGCTGCCTAAGTACGATGAATTTCAGGAGTCTAGGAGGAATTATTCACTATAGCACAGGGTCTGGTCCTTCCCGACAAGCTGGAAAGCTTTGCACAATACAGTGGAAGGTGTCGTGTATCTGCACCCTCTGTCGTTTAGACAGGGCTCTCCTTCAATACAGCAGACGGCATCTCTTACCTTCATTTTGACCTTGGCACAAGAGGCAAAACTCTCCTTACAGCCTTTGTGAACAATTGCATTGCAGTCTGTCACGAGCAAAACACAACAAAACAAAACACAACACAGAAAACAGGTCAGTATTTGCCATTTGCATTTTGAACTGCTGTCTTGCCTAACTGAGATTTACAACTTTCAGTCACCGGTGCAGTTTATACTGGTAGCTAGAGACAATGACAAACACGCCGCTTTCCAGGGTAATATGTGCCCTTTGCTTATTAACAACATTTCCGCACAGATTTCAACAGGAAATTCTCTTTAAAAATCAAGGCAAGGTAGAGCTGTTAGGGTCTTGCGTGAAAACAAAACAAAAGCAAAGGTGTTTTTATTCCTCTGCAAGAAAAGTAAGGGGGAAGCAGGAGGAGGCAGAAACAGAAACCAGCTATAGTCCCACTATTTTCTCTGAAAACACTAATATCTTTCTTATCAAGACATGTATTATGGGATCCAGAAGGCAGGAAAAGGACAGGAAAATTAATTTACTTGAACTTAGACACATCACAGACAGGATCTTTTTCATCTATTACTGCACTACAAGATTATCAGAAAAAGTAACAGGAGCGTCCGCCAGGTAACTGTAGTTGTGAAGCAGGCTCTTGCCTGCTGAAAACTACACTCACATCACTGATTTTGGCCTGAAAACAAAACACACACCAATGCAAAGAGCATTATGCTTTAACATCAGCTTTCGCTGCACATATGCTATAAAAAAAACCCTTAATTTCTTTTTCCTAATACCCTGAGTCTGCCAATGATCTATCCCAGTAGATTTCTCAGAGTCAGAGTTTTCAAAGAAGATCAAAAGAACTGTGGGTTTTTTTTTCTTTCCTGTTAATAACCTGTAACTGGGTTTGCAGTATTAACTCTCTGACAGGAAAAAAAAAAAAAATCACTATTCAAAGGCACTCAAATGAGATCAGGTAACTCCAAGAAAGCCTGGCATTTCTAATCATTCCTGAAAACAGATGTTAATACAGTTCATGAATTATATTTTAAGTGTACATTATATTGTAAATGTATAGCTCTAAATTACCTTTAAAAGAAATATTAAATGAAAGGAAAATATTCCAAGCCCAAATCAACAAAATATTCTCACATCATTAAAATTTATCAAATTAATAATAGCCTGCTTAATAAAAACTTGCAACTGTTCTGATATTTTGAGAGAGGTAAGGGTAAGCGCACAGGGCATTGCTATTCTGTACATGTCTCACAACTTCCTGTGCATGCAAGAAAACCACAAACCCCACAAACGTCCCTCTTCCTTGTTTGATCTGAAAAGTGATCAAGAACTCAGTTCTGATGCCTAACACTAAAATCACGTTAAAAGAGCCAGGGAGACGTTTCAGTATCATTAAATTCAAATGCAAGCCTTGAAAACCTGAAGTCAAGTCCTTAATACAAACCATTTACTGATAAAACATTTTTGTAGTTATCAGACAGGACTTTAGATTAAAAAAAAAAATAATAAAAAAAAAAGATGGTTTCAGGGATATAATTCACCCAACTCTTCACCAGGAAGTTTCTCCGCTTCCTCTATATCATTAATATTAATAATTAAAAACAAAAAGTTCTTTTTCTGAGTCCTTGAATACAAAAAAGAACAGCCAGAGCTGTTAACAAAGCAGGGTTTTTTGTTTGCCCATTTGTTTTTGGGCATGCCGAGTCTTTCAGAGTTAAATAGCTGTTTCAGGAAGCTGGGGGTGTAACTGCAAAGTTGAGACATTGATTTCAATTGATCCAGTGCTTTGAAAGGCATAAAGAAGACGTCATCCATAGGCGAGACCGAGCAGTGACGGTGGCAGGAACACATGGCCGCTCCTGCAGAAACACTCTAGCAGTCTACAAGAGCCTGAGAACAACAGAGCGTCTGCTGCTGGTTATTAGTCACGTCCAAGGCATTCAACAGATGATTTTAAGATGCAACGAGAGAACAGACCACTCTCAGATTCTAGCTTAACAACAGTCTGGGCCCAGACCAACTTTCTTTGAGACATTCATTTTCCGGTCAATGCAGAAAACTTGTAACTTTCTGTTGTACCTTGGAAAATAAGGAAAGAATGTCTACATTCAAGCATGTGCTGCTACATGACTTTGTAGGAGTATCTCACCTCTTCAGGATATAAAGAGATAATGAGGATATATTTGATTTTCTAAACGGTTTGAGAATGTTTGAAAAACACAGAGCGGGGAAAAGGAGCTTGCAGTTGTTAATGTTTTCCACTTCCCACCAGGTGAACGCAGAGCATGCCTTACGCAAACAACTTTGCTGAAATCTCTCTCTTTCAGGACATGCAAAGCTGCCTGTGGGGATTCAGCTAGCTGCTCCTTCCTGTCCTCGCTTGAGATGTTTTATACACTGGTCATCTACCAGAATTAACAAACAGAGACTGAGCCCTCTGCTTCAGCCTGGAGAGTGCCCTGCACAAAACTCCTGCTCTCTGCCAGTGAGGGGAGAAAAAAAATATAACCCATTGTCAGAAATGGAGTGTCCTGAGCTGCAGCAGAAAAAAGACATTTTGCCTCTACATATCGTGCAGTTTTGGCTCTCTATGTAAAAGAGCTACTCTTCTGGTCTTGACCACACAAAGCCTACTGACCTGATGGTGTTACAGATACGCAAGTAACTGTCTGCTAAAAAACCAAGAACAAAATCACCACGTCCAATAGAAACCCTCTGCTGCGCCTGGGTGTGCTGCCTACAGCGTACTACACGTAATTCACACGTGTACAGGTAGTTAGTTACCATTTGATCTGTGATGCGACTTCATATATAAGGGAGAAAACAGCGGATATTTTCTTTTTATATCATGCTGCTCTCACTGAGGGCTCACTGAAGCAGTATCTCAGAGAGCTGAAGTAGATAAAGCAATACACTGTGGATGGACGGGATGTTTTCTTCCTCAGTGGATATAAGAGCCATGATCCCCACTGGCTTTCTCTGTCTACTATCTTTCCTAACGAAGCATCTTAGCCCCAAGCCATAACGCCTGACACAGCTCAACACACAGGAGAAGAAAACGTTGCAGGACGCAGTACTGCGGAGCAGATCAAACCAGGCTCACGAGGAGGCTGCAGGACAGTAACGCATGGAGCATTACCTCAGAAGTTTCCCTCTCTCCTCAAATCACAGTTCTTCAAATGTGAGAAAAATAAAGCATAAGATTCACATTTCCCGTGTCAGATTTAATGAAACTCAAAGAGGAAAAGGAAAAAAAAAAAAAAGACTTACTTGCACAGTAGTACGAATCCTTATTGAAAGGTTTCATACAGTGGTAACAGGTTGCTTGGGCTACAACAGAGGTTGCAGTGAAGAGATGCCCATTCAGCAGCTTCTTGTCTTTTTCCTTCTCCTTGGAATCCTTGTCTTTCTCTTTAGTCTTCTCTTTCTCTTTCTCTTTTTCCTGCTATGAGAAAATGAACAAAAGCTTTGTTACTTTGGAGAGGTCAATTCTCTAGTTACAAATTCTTCAGTGTTTGCCTTCGGCACTATGACAGTATCGATCTGCGCACACCTGAACAATAGTCATGTGTCTACACAGCTCTGCTAAAGAAATCAAGTTTATGGCCCTAACAGTACTGGATTAACATAGTAATGATTCCCAGAGCCTTCTACACAGGTATCTGACAAGCAGAGACTAAACTGAATCTGTTCTGAAGGCAACTCTTTTCTTCCACCTTGTCTGCCCATATTTGCTTGGGTTAATGACTCACGTAGTCTCTTTTCCTGGGCTCTAAATCAATGTCTTTGACACTTTCAAAGAATTTTGTTAAATTGAAACAACTTATGTCAAACTTTTCAACACAGAATTAATGTTTAAGGCCAACATGTATGACTCATGTTTTGAGACTGAATTTTTAATGGAGAAAGCAAGACTTTCTATGACTGTAGTACAGCAGTGCTGCCAGAATATTACCCCCTCATCCTTCCTTGTGACTAATGGGGACTGTCTTTTTCAGCAGTTAACAGTATCATGCAACCTCAAGTGACTATGTGAAGCTAATACTCTTTTGGGGGAAATGATCTTTCACAAACTCGCAAAATATGGCATCACAGAAAGGCAGAGGAACAACAGCAACACCATAAAAGTTTATCTTGTCTTCCGGAAGCCACATTTCAACCCCTGGGGAGCTCAGCAGTCTTTGCACTGAAGAAGCACAGCCGGCTTCCCTGATTTTTAGCAGAGGTCTTGTCTACCTGTCCCAGAGACACACCAGGTTCAGCAAGATTACGCTGCTCCCTAATGTACAGTCTGAAGCTTATAATAGTAACCTCAAACTGAGTCCTGTAAACTCCACATCGTCTCTCTTTCCTTGAGATAGAAATGTGCTAAATATTAAAATCTGAAAATGTCTCCTGCAATATTCCATGGATTTAGTGGTTGCTCAAGCGTAAAGTCTATCACACGATTTCTACAGGAAACTCCACCAAAAATCTTCAAATTTGAATATTAATGACTCCTTGTCTTTATATGTCCCACCCTACCAACGCGCCCTTCATACAATTGGCCTCCAAATTCGTATTTTAACTAACTGAGGACTTTTCGGCATCTGAAAGAGAAGCTTAATCAGAAATTAGCCAAAGCTTCTGTGAGTTTATCTCTGCATTTTGTTAATTATACACCATGCGCCCATTGCTAAATATTGCTGCAGTAGAAGCCCAAATATCAGAGAGGGGCAGAGCAGCCTATGGGAGCAACTGCCAAGAAGCATTTACAGGAAGTAATGAGTTCTGCAGGTCCCAGGGGAGAAACTTTTGAACCTTTGATGACACAAATCATTAGCAACTCATTGTAAGTCTTCCTTCTCCCACCAAACCTCAGGAGAAAAGCCACTATCAGTCTTTCCCTGCAAAGCCTTATAAACAAAAATACTACTTTATTTACTGGCCCCAACTTCTATTTTGTTCAGCAAATAAGTGAAAACATGATTGCAGGAAGGAACAATCTTGTCTGAAGTAGAAAACCTGCAACTAAGAGTCTTGTCTGTGGCACAGAGATGCCTCCTTGAACCATCAGCTTGGACCAGGATCCTGTGACCATCTGACACAAAGCTCCATGCAACCACTGACCTGCACGAGGTTAACCAAGTCTTGTCTGAAAGGACTCAAGAACTAAAGCTCTGAAGCTTAGTTCTTGGCAGGTGGTACCAAACTGACACCTGGAGTTTGCTCCACTGCCAGGATTGGAGAAGCTCAGACCCCCAGGAGAAAAGACCACCCTACGTTCAAGGCACATCCTGTGACTCTTGTACTGAAAACGCTGAAAGGAGATTTACTAGCCTATACTTTAAACATACCTGATGCTTAACACAAAGTCCAGTAATTCTAAAATCTGGAATAATTACCATCCTTCAGAAAATCACTGTAAAAATACTGTAATTAAAGCTAAATGACTGCAGCAAGAATCAGGAAATGGTGTACCACCTTCAAGGGGCAAACAGTAAGCTTCATTTGTAGGACGCCAGTTTCGGTGACAACACCACTGAAATGCAATGCCTCAAAATGAGATATTTTTTGCTATGACAGTTCCTGGAGCTTTTTTTTTTTTTTTTTTTACATGTAAAAATAAAAACATATTCCTGCTCTATAAGAACTGCCAGCATGATTTGAAGCCTCACTTCACTGGGCATCTGAGCTGAATATTAAAAAACTCCCAGCAACGTGTAAAAACAGCCATTACCGGTAAAGCAACTTGGTTTCATGGCCTAAAATAACTGACCACGTACTGCAGCATCGGCTCCCACGAAGAAACAACCGTTAAGCTCTTACCTCCCAATGCTTAAGTCCTACTAGCTTCACTGTGATTTGGGGCACTTCGCCAAATTTATTCCATTTTATCGACATCCTTCCCCCGGAGGCAGGAGAGCTGTTCTCCCTGAGAACTAGCCCATCGTGACAGCCCTGACCGACTGCCGGGGGAGGTGGGGGGATGCCGTGGAGAGGTGTTGAGCAAAAGAGCGGGCGGGCTGTGGGCTGCCGACTTCCTTGAAGATGATCTTGCTGCTGCTCTCATCCTACTCTACCCTAGCTTTGACTGCTAAAAATAAAAAAAAATACAGGTGGGAAAGGATGGGGTTTATATTTGACAAGTCGCAAGCAAATACGAGGCTGCAAATGTAATAGGCTGAGAGATTACGAAAACAAACCCTCCGCGAGGGTCGGGATACACAAAAAGTGAATTTTAACATACCTCGGTGTTGCTATGTAATACTTCAGTAAATGCAGCGCGGCAGCGGATTTCCCAGACTGAGAGGTTTCACGTATTTACACTGCTCCTGCCCTCCAGCTGACAAACACTCGCTGTCTCCTAGCGCTTCCTAACACTCAAAACGCATAGGATGTACCAAAACGTCGTTGGTGGTATAAAACTGTCTACTGACTGCGCAAGTCAAGGAAAAGAGAAATTACTCATTCTAGGCAAATTTTCTGTCATCATTTCCCTGAAGCTCTCTACCAAAATGAAGAAGAAGAGTATTTTTTTTTTCTAATTGACAGGAACAGCATGTTTTAGACTTCATATATATGTGAATCAGCGCATGCTGCTGATTTGAAGTGCGGGTCCCTGACTAATCCCCGAGCAACATCAAGTGCCCACTAGATATCAGTAAATTCACACAAACGTGAATCAGTAGTCCCCACTCTATAGCTAATACTTCATACATCTTTTCTTTCTCGCTCTTTTTTTTTTTTAACATGCCTCTTTATATTTTTAAAGAGTCACTGCCATTAGGAGTATTCTCTAATGCACTTTATTTTACAGTTAATTGTAGAAAGCTATGCATTTCTGAAGCCAGGCTGGGGAAGTGTGAAACTTAGTTGGAAAGGACTTGAAGCCTCTCTTTCTCTCTAACAGCCCAGACAGTAGCAGAAACTAACTTCCTGTTCAACAAACATCCTCTTACAAGGGTTTTTTGGTTGTTTTTTGGGTTTTTTTAACTCTTACAGGTTTTATCTGTCATAATGCTTCTGTGAATTCAGCGTTCCCAAGAATTTTTAGGTCAAATTATTTAAATATATAACTCAAGCTCTAAAACGTATGCAACACAAGCACTCCACAGAGGGGGAAAAAAAAGAAGATTTAGTTTGGATAATATTAGGCTTTGCTGGTTAGTAAAAACATCAAAACTACTATGTGCTGCAATTTTTGTCGTGCATATCATGGCCGGGATTTCGGAGTGACTCTGGTTTAATCAACGCTTTCAGATATAATCATGAAACTACTGAAATTAAACAGGCAGCACCTATTTAACTGACAAAGGCGGAGCAAATATCTCAGCGTACGTTTGTCGTGTTTTCTTGCCTCTCCCAACACAATCTGTTATGTACATCCAGTTCCTGCTTTAGAGGTTACACATCCCAAGTGCAAGAACCAACCAGCTAACAGATCTTGTTAACAGGCATGGCACAATCTTCCACAGCTTCTTGCTAGTGGTTTGCACAGAGGTTTCAATATAAATAGATTTTTTCACATTGTGCTTTACAGTAGAGAATAGCATCATCTTAAAAGCTTATCAGCAGCAGCTCGGAAGTGTTGATACCTCCGGCATGCATTCTTTGAAGCTGCATCCATACAGAGGAGCTGTACGTTGTGATCACTCATCTCATTACACCGGATACCAGGCTGCAAGGGGACGCGATTTTCAAAAAACGTGTATCGAAAAGTAGCTGTGCCATGACATTACACAAAACTAGCTCTGTTAAAGGAACTGTAAGGCTGAAACAGCAAGTGCTTACTTACATCGGGAAATCCTAAAACCAAGTTTGCTTGCGCAGATAAAACGCGACTGCTCCCACACATATACCCTTCATCCAATCCTTATTCTGTGATAGCCACAGTACTCACTTGTATCCCCATATCTTGTGTCCTGCTCGCTATTCAAATTTTGCTCAGAATATGCAGTTACATTTCTCAGGGGCTTTCCAATAGCATTAACCAGCATAGCATCCATATATCAGTTAACTATTTAATACACACGGTACACTGTGAGGTAAGGTGACATTTATCTCCTGTCCTTTAAACATGGTAAACAGAAGTGAGATTCAAGTAAAAAATGCAACGAAATAAAAATTCCCTAGAACAGATTAATTTTGAAGGGTCCATCTAAGGAAATAAACACTTGGGTTTTTTTTTTAAAGTATTTAGCAATAATGTAACAATTCCTGCACTCAGTGCTGTTCCCAGGAAATTCAGTTGTGCTGCTCAGTGCTTAACACTTCAGCAAATGAAACCCTACAGTTTCAAGGACTGCTTCCAAAAAATGGGAAAATATAAATATTGGCCATCTATAAAGGTCATGGTCTGAGCAACTTCTCCAGCAGCGCGCAGGAACATTGTGCGAAAGGTAAAAAGAAAAGGGAAACACAATACACCCTTCAAATCTAATTTTTCCTTACAGCTCTTGTCCTCGTTTTATTATACTCCTCTGGTTCTGTAATAATTAGGCCCATCAATCACTGCAAAACCGTAATTCATCGCAGAGCGCAATCCATCCTCTATAACGATGCAAGCATGATTCTACGGATGGGCAAAAACACTGCACATGAAACTTCAAATCTGATACATTCTAACTTTGGGGTGCTAAAACTTCTCATGCTGCTGTTCCCTATTACCATACAGAAAATTCCCCCTTTACAAAAGGAAGACAGGAAGGAGGAAAATTAGAAAAAGAAAGTGAGACAAAAACATAAATACCACCCTAAGGAAACACATTGAAATCTAGAACTGATCTCAGCTACCTACAGGTATTTTTTGAATAGCTCATATAGTAGGTGGCAAGCTTCCATAAAAAAACAGACATGAGATAGAGATGAAACACACACTTTGGCAATGAATTTCACAATTATTTGCTGATGGCAGAGGGCTGGTGCACGGCAGAGACTTCGGGTCCTATGTGACTCCTGCCATGACCATCTGTGCTTTTACCTCTGTAACTCTCCCAATCCATGCTAGAACAGCCAAAAAAGTTTGAAAGTCTACAAATAAATACCTAGGAGTATTTTCTATTTTTTTTTTATCTTTTACAAAAATCTCCTTGTTTTACCCCAAGGTGATAGAGGAACATTTCTACTTCATGTCTCAGTTGCTCTACAGGCTGCGTACTGAGAACTTGCACGTGCTACGGGGAGCCACAGGAATTGGGAGTACAGAGGCTGCAAGCGCTTGGAGACTTGCAGGAGGACTGTCGCAGACACTTCTGAGTCGAGTAAGGAATTTTATACGGAGAAAAGTACCAACAGCGCGGCTATACAAGTTACAAATACCACTTACTTTGCTCTTCTTGCTGCTGGACATTTTATTCCTGAGGTAGCTGAAGGTGCGACTGACTTTTGTTCCACCTTTACCAGAGGGGACACTGGTGCTCTCTTCAGATATGCTAAAACCAAAAAGAGAGAGGTTGGTTTGTTTTTTTCTCCTGAAGTATCTATTAAATGAATTGATGCTTTTTAAAAGGATGAATGCATTTTTATTATCCAACAAACTCACGTGCTCCTTTATGGAATTATACAAAGATGGTAAAGTAAAGACAAAATGCCAATCAAGTTGCTTATCACATGTTTCAAGATATGTGTTATCTGCTTTTAAGTAATCTTCATTCTCAGTCCAGGTCATATAGCACCCTCTGCTGCTCCAGTGGCCAAATAACTACTAACTTGCTGTCAGCATTTTCTTATTTAGACAGCCAACCTAGCAAAATTGCACATATACCATCAGTCTCAGCATTTAATTATCAGTGTCTACTATATTTCATACTTGGAAAGGGATAGACATGCATACACCTTTTAAACAGAGATGTCTTTCCCGGGAAAGATAGATAGTGAAAGCTGAAAAAAGGCAGTATCTTTAAAAGAAATCACACTGTATGTAAAGCCTCTCTTGAGAGAGAAAAAATACCAGTAGTAAATAATAAAGAACATTGGTTATTTGTATTAATTTAGCGATTTCAGGCACATCAGATCCTTTCTGCCTCATTTTCTACAGGCACCAGCTTACAATCTCCTCAGCTGCTATGGAAGAACAAGAAAATACAGAGGAAGGTACTCTCGTTAAAGAAAAGGTCACAGTCCTCCAACACGAAATAAAATGCAAACCAAAAGCAAAATGACAGAAAGACAAATGAAGTCAGGGAGGGGAAAACGGCACTGAACACAGATCAAGAGCGTCCTAGCTAAGACACAAAGCTGAAACTATCAGAAGTGACACGAGAAGGTAAGGCAGACACCAGACACCCAGCTCCGTTGGTGCCACAAATGTTGACCCTCCTCCACAGGCAGAGAAGAGCTTTTAATGCCATCACCCGTCACAAAGACTATCTCCTTGCTACAGCTTGCAAGGATGAAAGGGAACATACAAAAACATGATCATTTTTGCCTTCGTTATAAGAATATAGACAGAGTTAACCAAAGGGAGTAACAACTACTTCTTACATTACACAGCATAACTCCTGGTGAACTAATACAGTTTAATAATAGATAATCTGAAATTTTATTATCCGTGAATAAGCACAAAGTCTTAAAGACTTATTCATTGTTAGAGATAAGCCCCTGAATAGGGGCACATTCTTGCATATTCTATGATATAAAATGTTCTTTAGCTTTCAGACATATGGGACGGATATTCACAAATCTTGACACTTGCAAATGCAGCCGAAGACCACTGGAGCTAGGAACGCTTTTGGTCTTCAAAATCTGGGCATACTGCAAGAGTTCCAACAGAGAAGGTAACGGCATCACCAGAATACTGTACCTGTGAACTGAGGAGCTGCTGGGGCCGCTGAACTGTCGTGTAGCTGGAAAAGCTGGAGGGATGGGAGGTGAAACGTTAGATTGCAATCTTAGCTCACTAGTTTTAAAAACATAGTTTTTACACTTGGATAGCTAAAGAAGAAGGGAAAACGTTTATCAGGAGTGAGTGTTTAGAATAGATATCATGTGATCAGGAGAAAGACTGTTCCCCATATCCTTAGGTTATTTCCAATTAGACGCTGAGGTGAAAGACTGCTTACAATTGTCATCATTCATCAGCTGCTAAGCAGAGGATGTGAATCTGCTATCTTTGCCAGTAAACCAGGGAACACGATTCAGAACTGCCAATTTAATGACTATAGGTATACATGAGAATCATTCTGCCACAACACTTTTATTTATGCACCAATAGAAAGAATCTATCGTTCAACACATCCGGGTTTCACGTATATTTTTTTTTTCCTTGATAAAATTGTAGCTCATTTTCCCATCAAAATCCTGAAGCACTTCATAAAGAGTAAGAGAAACAAGGAAAGCCTTATTCCGTTTTCCATAAAACATTACAGACTTAGAGCTTAGTTGCCCAAAACTCTGCTTGAGGAAAGTATGACTTTCTACATGCAGCTGAAGCCCTGCCAATGACACCATTTCTCTTTAAACCACAAGAAACCTGCTTGCATAACACATTTGGAGCAGATTAGGTAGCTGATAGCACTTCCCAGTACCATCAAAGAACACGGAAAAATCAGGAAACAAATAATCCAGAGGAGAGAAGATTCTCTCTGGAGCAAGTGGGCTTGTCACGCCTTCAAAAAAATCTTACTACAAGCACTATTTGCAATCATATCTGAAGCACAAGAAGCAGCATGACCGATCGCTTTCTTAGGCTTCCGCAGAGATCTCTATTAATGTGCTCCTTGCTAAATCTGTCATCTAATTAACAATCTATCCCAAAGACATCGGTTAGTAATACTGTAACAAATATCGAATGAAGCATATTCGGTTTCATGTTTATGCTGGGTTTCTCTTACATTGTCTACCACCTAAGTAGCATTTCACAAATCTTTTTGTTTCTTTGCAGTTAACAACGCGAGAAAAACAAAAGAACCCTGAATCAAGAGTCATAATAATTTGTTGTTCGTGACTCTTTTTTAGCACCTTGAGAAAGTACATTGCATGGGAACTTCAATTAGGGACTATTTATCTTTTGCTGCGATAAGTGTTTTATCTTAGAAATGGGGGATTCTTGACACTGACAGGCAAAACAGACACAGACATTAATCAAGGTGAAAGCCTTTGTATGGTTTTGAATTTGAGGCTACAGTATAACATCATATGACCAACATTTCGCTACCAGCTACAAAACCCATAAAGATTAGCACAGAAAAGAGTGTATTTTCTCACCTTCTAGATTTTTTCGGTGGGAGGGGGCAAGGAAGGTTTAGTTCCTTAATTTCTATGTTTCCTCTCACTACCAGGATCAAAACTGAAATACGAAAACTGATCCATGGCTAGATCTCATAGCCCACAAAAGCAGTTAATTCCGTAGGAAATCCAGGCCTGCTACGTATGTCCAACGATTCTGACTTAGCGGCCAAATTTTGCTGTTGTTATTTGAACATCATTTAAGTACTACCCACAAAATTATTTCACATCGTAGTTGGACTTGAACTAATTCATCAAGGTTCTTTATGAAAAAAGAAGCAGCAGGACTAGCAGACTGCAAACAAAAAACCAGCTTGCAGCTCCCTAATTCTGGCAGTAATTAAACTTTTGGGTGCCAAGAAATCCAAAGGCTTGATAATAACCATCTACCATCTTCCAAAATGCACAGCCTGGCTTGTCAGGCCATCTGAAATCTGCATCTTAAATATCAGATGATATCAAAGTGTCACTAATTCTCCATACTCCAGAGAAGAAGCTGGGGCATGGAGACGTTGAGGAAAGATAACTGAAATACTTGCTTAATCTCAAGGCAAATCTATCTACTCTCTTATGAGAAATGAACACTGAAGACATGAAAAAAAAAAAAAGTCTGGGATTATTATGCAAAAAATGCCCATTGTCAAAGCATCTTATGAATAGCTGTGGCTAAACCAACCTTATATAAAGTCACCACAACATCCTCAAATATGAGGGCATAAAACACATGTAAACAAGGCAACATTTTTGTCTGAGACAATATCAGACATCACTAAATGCTCATCAGTAACAGCAGCACTGTTCAGGAAAAGAAGGTAAGTATTGGCTAATAGAAACACCTGAAAAAATTGTTACAACCTGAACTATTCGGATTTGCCAAGTGGTGGGATGATTACAGGATAAAATAAAAAAAAATGAAACAAATCAACTAAAAGGTTTAGATAAAAATACTTTTTACTGTCATGACAGCGTGACATCAATGTATAGCTGTTTGTGATACACTTTGTGGGGAACATGAATTATAAGTTTTGTTAAAAGCCGAGGAAAGAGACAAAGCAAAGGGGAAGGGGGGAGGTGGAAGGAGCTTATATACTAGGATAGCTCATAGGACACCCAAGAAGAGCAGAAGACTTTCTTGTAGCAAGGAGCAAACGCGCAGTCAAGAAAGGGGATGGAAAGGAGAAGTATTTAGATACCTACAACAGGTATGCATGGTGCGGTAGGATGGTGCGGAGTTTTGTTCAGTTAGGGAAGCTACCAAAACCTGCAGGACTGGAAAGGAACATCCCCCATCCTAATATGGGCACCGGGATGGGGGCAGGTTTCCTTACAAATCTTTTATTTGAACCAATACAGCCATCCTGAATTTTCTCTTTCAAGAGTCACTCTTTCTGGTTTATGTCAACATTCTAACAAAATATATTGAAGAAACAGGAAGCATTGTCAGTATCTTTTATGTGCCTATTCAAAAAAAAAAAAAAGGAGGAGGGTAAATGATTCTGACTCAAGCTTCTGCTTTACTTGGCTTTCTGCTTAGCAATAGAGTTTGCATCAGGAAAAAAAGCCACCATGTAACACTTTCTTACATAATAAAATTATTCTAATTATATCATCTAGACTTAAGATATTGAACACCTTGAAGGTGCTTGGCTGCAATGTATGCTTTTTTGCTCAATAGGGCAACTGTGAAGTTGTAATCAAGATTCTCAGAATTTAATATCAGGGCTTCTCTCTTCTTCTCCTGCTCCCACCAAGCAATGTTCTCTTGCATATGGAGGGCAAGGATCTCTGTCATCTCTTAACTCCGTGTACTGCAATAATTTCAAGACAATTATTTTGCTTATAATGAAAAGATAATGACAATATCACAACTACAACAGCGGAGGATAACATTCACCAAATGAATAAAGACCAAAACTAACCAAATGGGACAGGAGGGTGCTGAGGTACAAAAAATTTGGGATTATAATCCTTTTATTCTGCCCTTAGTTAGCACTCACATACAAGTGATAATGCTGTTAGACATCATGCAATAGAGCAGTTAGTTTAATGCTTGCAAGGTAAAATTGAAAGGTTTAAAGCAGAAACACAGATTTCTCCTTGCTTTCACCCATACTGGCTGCAATGCATAGAAAACGATTACTTACTATCCAACTCCTCCTCCTCATCACTGGAAGAAGAGCCAATAGAAAAGAGAGTTTTAGACTTAGGAATGAGCGGAGAGATGCTGAAGGAGAAGGAGATTCGTCTGGATGGTCGAGTCCGTCCCGGGGCTGAGAAGTGGGTTAACAGCAGACATTAGAGCATGCTTGAAAACACATTTAATAACAGAAAGGAGAGAAAAGCAGCCAAAGCAAACTAAAACCAAAGCAAAAGAAATGCCTCCAAAGCAGCTGGCTTCAGAAAAGGCACAAGCAACAAAGAATTCAGAATGTGCAGATTTCAGAGGATGCACGTTTCATTGCATGCGTAACTCTAGGTTCAAGGCTCTCCTTATCTTTGCTGGCGTCTCCTTATAGGAACTCTTAATGAAGACTTGCACGTGAACAGTTATTCTCCCAAACCAAGAATTTAGTGGATCCCTCGTTAAATGACATCTGTTTCACTGAAATAACTGCCAGGGGATCAAACTAGAACAACTCAAGATACTTGTTTAACGGTGCTTTCCTCAGTTAAATGATACGCCAAAGCTGCTGGATATAGCTAGGATGCTTTTCCTGAAATGTTGACTTTACTTACCTGGAGAGGTTCTTGCCACTTTCACCCCTAAAAACATCCCATTTTGGTCATGTTAGGCCCTTCAAAGCTTCCAACTTTCAAACTATGTGACCTAAACTTCCTTTCCTTTCTTCCCCCAAAAAAACAGAAAAAACGAGCATCTCTTCTACTGCCTTCTGCTGAAACTCACAGTCCTGTTTTAAAGAAACTGCCTAAATATGGGAAATTGCAATCTGTTCAGTCCTTGCCTGTAAGGAGTCTGCCAGCCAGAGTGCTAAACTCAGCAATCAGTTTGTGACATAACATCTCCCATTAGCAACAGAATAATGAAAATTAGTCCAATTGTATTTTCTTGAATATGTTACTGCTCCGTCTTCTGCTTATTTCAATATCTGAAATTACATTTATCTGCTAATACTACGCACCTTTGCAGAAATGCCAGCTATTTGTTTGTGGCCTCTCCTGAAAACCTGGCGCACTAGAAGAGGTTTACTTTAATTGCTTTTTAAAAGTAGTTTATTTTTAAGAGAAGTGCTCACATAGCAGCACCGCTGCAATAATTCTTTAAAAGTACAGTTTTCTCTGAAAAGAGACGTAGGAACCTACCAGACACTCTACTTTTAACTGAAATTGCTACATAGCTGAATATTAATACAATAAATACACATTTAACTGAGTGCTACTCCTTATATTTTCTTAGAACATGTCTGATTCTCTAGCAGATGTGTTTACATTTTTATTACATTATAAGAGTCTACAGCACATATATGATACAGGTAAGCCACATAGCTTCTTATGGAGGTGCCTGAAGGATGTATTACCAAAACCTTCTCATCATTTCACCGGGGGTGTCAACCTCCAGCCTGTGACCCCAAACATGTCCTTTTGGCCACATACAAAGAGAAGTTTTTGTATGGCTGATATCTTACCATAAAGCTGAATTCAGAATATAAAAATATTATCTGAGGAACATTCATGCAAAACACGCAACGCAAAGCAAGCTCTCCTGAAATTTTCCTTCAGCCGTTAGTCATAAATGCCAAACTCCTAGAGGGTTTGACTAAAATTGTGTTCACCCTTTTCCAACTTCATCACCTAATGCAGAACAATCCTAGAGGTAGACCCAGTGGAAGGCATTTAAATTGAAGAATTCTTAGTAAGATCAAGATATCTGTTTTGTTCAGACTGTCTTTACGCCAGAGCTCTTCTCCTCTCCCAGGACATGACTGGAAACACCCTTTTCTTTTTTCTGCAGTCTAGTATCTATTTAGACTAAAAGTCAAGATGAACAATAATACTTTACTGTAAATAGAACTACGTCCTCCAGCACAGCTCAATTCAACTTCTATTTCAGTGGTTTTATTTATAGCAGTTCCTGGCTCTATAACAATGCACCACACTGGAAATTTGCAATTCCAGAGCCCAAAGCAGTCTTCCGAGCGCTCTAGTCAACAACTCTTGTGATCTCCCTCTAGGAAATGCTAAAGGATTAGCAGTTGTGAACGGCCACAGCTTCTTTTGGAACATCTGAGACATCAAATGAAGTGCGGGTTAGAAACCTGTTCTTGGAAACTGCTCCCATCTCAGTACACACAACAATATATGGGAAAGACAGGAGAAAGCCCTCCACATATTTATTCAGTTGGGTTTATTAAAATTTCAAGCTTTTGTGCAAAACATGTTGCTTCCTTCTCATTCAGACATATTTGCAGGGGTCACGGATTTTTGTTCGCTTGTTTGTTTTTAACACCTGCCATAAAATTATGCAAGCAGAATGAAGGAACACGGACAATTAAAGTTTTCCTAGAATTTATCTCCAATACATCAAGGATTTATTCTTGCATCTTAATACTTTCTCTTTTTTCCTTCCTTTGCAAAGAGATCAGCATGTTTAGGCTGACACCAGAAGAGGAGGATGGGATAATAAAAAATGTCTACCAGCAACTCGGGTCTTAATGGCATTTTTACTGTGGGTCACGAGACAGGAAAACTGTGGAAAAGTTGTAATCTATCTGGTTCCAAGATGGTGGCACGAATCTGCCATCACTGTAAAACCCCCCTCCGTAAGCCTGAAGGAAAGTCTCAAGCAGGAGGAGGAGCATCAGCCTGCCAGCCTCTCTTAACCACAGAGAGAGTCTGTTTTTGGGGAGTTAGTCGAGTTATTTATAGTGTTTGGTTAGCAACTGGAAGCAATGCCAATAAATTGGCTGCTTAAAAAAAAATAATGAAGGCCTTCAGCACAAGGAGGAGAGAGGGTGCGCCATCACACAGAGCAAAAGCTGGTCTTTTCACAGGATAGGTTTGCCAGTGTTTTGGTTACTGTTGCTGGGGTCACATTCGTTAGGCCACATGCTTATTAATCATGGAAGAATGAGGACAAAGAATTTAAAAGTGTCTCCTACAAAGCCCAATCTCTGTGAGCTTCTTCCAGCAAGCCTCCTAAATTACTAAAACGCCTTTCTTTAACATAGCTTTCCCTGCTAAGCCTTGCAGAACTTTTGAGTTTTCAATACAGCTCCATTTGCATCTGATGCTTCCATTAAATTTAATGTTTTGGGCATTAATTTCAGAAGCACAACACCAGATTGAATCTGTATGACAAAACTCACTGAAAACATACAACCATCGAATAAACCCTTTGCCCATCTGCTAACTGCACCAAGAGATTCTTGGTCTACCGACCAAAAGAAAAAGTGAAAAAAGGCCAGCGTTTTCATTCATGCGGGGAAGAGGAATAGCGCTAATCACAGCACACAGATAAACACGAGCCCAAGACCATGTGGTGCCGCCCCACACTCATAATTGCATGGAACAGCCAAAAGATGCGCACTACATAACTGCAAGAAAGCAGCATGGTAATAAAGAGGAAAAGATCAGAGACTATCACTGACTGACGAGACGTGATCTAAAAAGTAAATCCATTTTCTGGCTGATAATTAAGAAAATGAAAACATGTGCAACACGTCCTTTCCTAAGCACATCCAGCTGCAGCCTTTTGAAAGACTCTTTCCACTGAAAGAATCAAATCAGTGAAGATGCAAAATTAAATGCCTGTTGATGCTTAAATTAAGCTAAACTAAATTGAAAAATTCCACCTAATCATCTTTTACTATTTTCTTCAGGAACGTGATTTGATAAATTACGCCCGTCTGCCCCAAAACATTTATTTCAAACAAAAGAAAGAGCAACAAGCTCCCTCAATGAAACGAAGACATGCATTCCCAAGTTTTTATAGCTCAGCTTTCAAAAATCCAGAAGCAGGAGAGTTAGAATTCAAGTGGAATTTATCTCAGTATGAGAGGAAGATAATCTGAAAAGATGTGAAATTCAAATATAGTTTTTCCACAACAAACTTAAGAAATCATAGTTTTGATATCAGCCTAATTAAGAAAAGAAAAAATAAACAACAGAACTAATAACACCAGGGATATGCTGGGAAGAAGGAAATAAGGATCTAAACGGAATAAGGTTTGCCTATCTACCCGCAATTCCATGCAATAATGAAACATCTATATTTCACGATAACATAGGAAAGAAAGAGAGGATACTAGTAATTCTGCCTTGGGAAGGTAGCAAGAGATGAGGTGCTTAATAATACACTGTATGTAATGGATAAGGGTAATGAAAAATCATGTTTACTCACTGTCCAGAACTGGTTTACTAATTGCCATTAGAGACATAGATTTGGTCAGTGGAGAAGAAACAGCAGAAGCACAGAAATGAAATCCTTGCGGCTGTGATCTTTGATGCATCTGCGGAACAGAAAATAATCACACTGAGCAAACGTGTCAAGCACAACAACTTCATACCAATTATGGACTACAGTTCAGGCCTCGTGCTGACTGAAATTCACACTGTCAAGCAGCAGAAAATTTAAACAATCAAGAGCATTTTCCCCAGTATAAGGTAATAGGTGAGAAAGGTGAGGAACACAAAAAATAGAAGCAGATTTGTATAGGTGAAATGCAGCATTTTGTTTTGTCTTTTAAGAGAAGGACAACTAATTATGGAAGAACTAGAGATGAACTCTTTCCTTCTCTTGCAGGATATTGAAAAAATGTATGTTCTTAATTGCCTGATGGCCACTGAAATCATCCCTGTGATTCCATCTTCTCCTTATATGTAGGCAAGAGGTTCAACATGGTAAAAATTCTGACGCTCAACAGTGCGCTCCCAAAAACGCCATCCCTCAAAGCATAAGATGACCTAAGGGTCCTGACGTATCAGCTTTTACTAGTCAGATCTTGGTCAATCCATTTACTGCCTTGATGGATGGCTGCAACTCGGCTAGGTAAATATTATAGCTGGCTAACGATTCTGGTATGTACCCAGAAAACATTACTGCCGAACCATTAAGCTCAGAAATCCAGGGTATTTAAGACATTTAACAGTACAATTGCTTCTTTAATTAAAAAAAAAAAAAATCAAAACGACAGAGATTCTAAGACTATTCAGGCCCATCTGTCCTGAATACCTGTCATAAACTTCTGCTCCGAAGAGATCACACTAAATTTGCTTAATATGCCATTAATCTTTTGCTTGACTATTGCTTATAATAATAACGTGCCTTCTGGATTTAGTTATGCCTATGAAAGCAAAATTATCTTTATTTTCTCCTACAATATGCAAATAAACCTGAACAGTTTAACAGATAACTTACTGCCTGGTACTTGTATGTACTTCAGATCTGCAAAAGGCTGCAAAAGCATTAATTGCTCAAGCCTCGTAACATCTTTACTGACAGTATCACTATATCCATACTAGAGATTAAGAAACTCTTCCATGATTTTCAGGCAATCAGTGGAAGAAAACTGGGAAGTTCTTTATTCTCCACCCTAAAGGTTGAGCCCATCAACCCCCCAAATAACCAAGTAGAAAATCTGAACAAAGTAGAATACTCCTGTGTTAAAGATGAAGACTTAAATAGGAGCACATATGCTGGCTGACAGCCCTTGCAGTCAGTCACTTGGGGAAAAAACCCTTTCATGACTTTGACTTAGACTTTTCTAAAAACCTAGCAATAGCTGGACAGCTTTACCTGGTGATCATAGTCTCTGATTTCCCCCTGCTCAAGTTCTTCAGTGAGCGAGACCAAGGACCCGCACTCATCACTGGCCAGCGGACTTTGTCGGAGGTCCTTGGAACTCAGAGGAGACGCCTCCAAGCTTGCTGAGGGCTTCTTGTTCTCACCAGCCTCTCCAGCAAGGCCTTCTAGGCTGTAACTGAAGAAAACCCAAGGAGGTTAGATTCCGACTAAATCTCGCGGCCTGCTGTCTTTCAGCACATAGGGCCATCAAGCGTAAAACAGAATGCAATCACTAACGGAACCAACTAGGGAAACACTTATGTTATTCCTCAGTACATTACTTCTCAATGACCAAGTGCAGGTGGCAGCGGAGGGATTTATTTTTACATTTTCTTCAGAACAAATAGCAGCATCTTTGTGTCTCTACTGAGACACAATGGTTCCTTGGGAATAAACATTCAAACTCCTGGGTCAATGGATTTTTCCCTATTTTTCCCCCTTGCTTGAACGGTGCAAAGGAAAATCTAGAAACATTCTTTTAAAGATTTTGGTATTTCTACATATTCTATTTTGTTAGCTTTACTAGGCTCCCCTTGGGAATGAAGCCACCCAACCTGAACTACCCTTCATAGCCCAGTGCTGCCTGTACTTGAACACTACACCTTCCAGCAGCCACAAAATCAGCCCTGTGCTGAATGCAATATTCCTCTTTGCAGAGGCATCTTCTGAGGCTATTTAGCACTTGTCAGTGCACAAAGCTTTAGCAGTGACGATGCCCTTCTTTCTGCCAAAGCTGGTGTCTTTTTCCTCCCTAATTCAGTAAGTGTTGTCTCCATCAGCCAATTAATCCTAGTCTCATTTGCTTATTAAGCTAGGTCTGTCCAGTGGAGCCAGACAAGATCACTCAAAACTAAACAAATTACAAAACTTTTGCTTGCAGAACTGGTAGATATAAAAGGTTTGGCCAACCTCTGCAGAGATGGCCACTCTTGACAGACAAGCGATCTCTACAGAATATAATGCTAATACGCTCTATTCCCACCTACACAAAACAGTGTCTCACACATGATTATTTTCACCTGATCTTCCCTCATCCTGACCGACCTTCTGCTTCTGACCTTCCTCATCATTGTGGCCAAGCATCGATAAACCCATTGCAATTCCAATTTGGAGCTAATGTGCAAGCTTACAGATTCACCTTCAGGTACACGAGCACACCTATGTCAATAAGGTTTGATCTTATGTGCACAAAGTCCTGCTGGTTTGAAGCACGGCCTACCCTGAATTCAAGGACAAGTGTATCTCAGCTTCAGGCTAATCATGACGTTTGAGCAGCCAAACAGCTAACGTTCAAACAAATTAAAGGGAAAAAACCACTCTAAATTGCAGAGACTGTTTACACAACGAGGGGCGTTTTAAATTCAGGTAGACTTGCATAACAGTTACTAATGTTGTACATTTCACTAGAAGAATTAAGTGGCTGATAAATATGTATCTTCAAAGCAAGAACTGCAATAAATCTTGAGTAAGAAGATTTAGTTTATTGTAAAGGCTTTTTCATGTTAGTTAATGAGACAGAGGACTGGTTGGGGCACTCACAGTTTAATCTGCTTTAGGAAGATTTTGACTCAACAATGTGTATCAGTAGCAGGCATTATAAAGATTATTGTAAAATACCTGCAAAGAGAAATCAGTCCCATTCCTATCGATTAGCTAGGACAGAGAAACATTTTTTTCTTCTATCCCAAGATAACAACCATGATATTACAGAAAAAATCATGCAGTTTGTTGTGACACAAATAATTCAGCTCAAAATTGCAATTAATATTGTGTAGCCCATCAAATAGCTGTCAAGTGGTAGTACTGGTCTATAATCACTACTTAGGGCATATAGTCTAAACTGAAATTAATTCTGTAACTTCAAGTGCAGATTGCCTTCTTTTTAAATATCTAGTCTTCAGAAAATGAATGGAAAAGCTCTACCCACAACCAGTGAGAACTGCTAGAGGAAAACAGAAGCTCTACAATATGGGAGACAGGCCTGCAGTTATGTTAATGCACATTATCAGGTAAAGATCTGACCTGTAAGCATTAATCCCAACACTGGGACTTTTTACAGATGATGCGCATTTTAAATGTCTGGGAAATTTTCATCTGTGGCTATCAGATTGGTTTTTCACAGAAGGTTTTACATGATTAGTCTCTTTGAAGAAGCAACTAGAGCTTCCAATTTACAAAGAGTAAGTCTGTACGAACTTAAATCCTTTAAAAGATCTGTCCAGAACAAAGCAGCACGGAATCACATTAACTCTCACTTTGATTATTTTGCTGTCACAAGTATCGTTCTGATTATCACTACTGCAAAACGCACCTTAAAATCATCAAGGAAAACAGCAGCTCGAACCCAACAGCGCAGCTTCTTTAACACGCAAGGCCAATGAAAAGCAGCCACCACCTTCACCTGCACCCATTTTTAGAAGACCCATTACCAAGCCTAATTGCTGAAAAAGCAGACGAAGCAAACACACACGTGCACGTTTCAGCCAGAGCAGCGAAGAAAAAGACTACACATGAAAAGCCGACAATACAGTTTTTGCAGTGCGCTCCTTTGCTGCTGCTGCGCATTTATTTATACCATACCTTCTACAATTAAAGTCAGGACCCATGGCAATGAACTGTACGCCAGAGGGACACCAGCTCAAACTAGGAACATCAAAAGAGGCAAAGAAAGGAAAAGGGCTGTGATTATTGGATTGTTACGGAACACGGGAACGTTAAAAGACTCTCACTCATGCATATCTTTATATTAAAACACACACACACACACACACACAATAATGCAATAGCTAATATATATTTCTGGTTGTCAGAACACACCAGATTCCCCCAAATGACTCAAGTCCTCAGCTACCACTAAACAGGTGGTAGGACAGCTCACACTTCCCTCAAACCAATCAATCCCATTAGTGGGTACACAACATACTGGAGAAATCGCTCCTCGTGGGGAGAGATGTTTTGGGGGAAAACAGGACTGAAACCACGAAAGCCTATTTTGCATTAGGAATCACATAGCTGTTATGTTAGTAATAATTAGTATTGTCCTGGCAACTCTCATCCAAAATCAGAAAAAGAATCCCTTACAAACATTTAAATATGTAAGTCCCCGCCATACAGGTATTAATAACCTCAGAAAACCCTTGCGAGAAACAAGAATGGAGAGTGACATTCTTAATGCTGCAGAGTAAACCAGTGAAAGAGGCTGGAGGAAAAAAAAGAGGCTTGTCTCACTATTAACTTGTGATTAATCTCAATTAGAGTCCTTGAAACACTATTTTGACTAGAAAAGCTTTCAGCATACCCCAAAAGCGTCCCAAGGTACCTCATGAAAGACACAGGAGATGGAAATACAGCATGCCAATATTTTTGGTTGTCATTTTAAATACTGCTTTGGTTATTTTTCCTCTGTGCAATTACGGCCCAACTGCAGGTTCTTCTTGTCAGCTACCGTGTATAAAGGACCTCTAAATACTTCAAAAGCTGTCCTGGGAAACATATATCGTCTGAAAGGAATTTTGCATCAGCACAGCTCGGGCCCAAGCCGTACTGCCCAACTCCTTCTCCCAGCTCTGGCACGTGATCCGTGCAAGGACAGGACATGGCCAGAGCGCACTTTGCTTCATGCCAGGAGCCTATGAAAAGAGCCTTACCGGTCCACGTACCCTTGCACCAGGATTTTTCAGTGCCAGAAACCTGAGATGGCACAAAAGAAGGTTTAAAGCCACTGACTGCATCTGTCTTTTGCCATTTCCTTGTATTGTTTCCACATGCAGTACAACACGGGAAAAATTCAGGAAGGGTTTGAGGATGGGCGTTTAAAGGTGGAGTTCAAAAAATTGCTATCTGTTTTATCAAGGACGTTAACAGGGTGAGGACACGTCTGAAGTACCTGTACTTTGCACACCAAAGCTCTAGGTGCTCTGCACTAACAGTTCTCAGCACGTTACTGTGAACATGCTTTACGGAGGCACACCTTCCCGTAACATGAAAACAATCCAAGGGCCTAATCGTGCTCTCACTAAACCGTGGTGGTAGAGGGAAGTGTTAGCGAGGAAAGGGGATTCGATATTTTGAGATCATAAAAGAACCAAGTCTTCATGGCCACATAAGCCTTTCTGCATTACACATCTCCTCAGTTTGCACTCCCAGTGGTGTGTTCAGCCCTGCGGGTCAGGAAATCCCCTGAGCAGAAAGTAGGTGAGGCCTGAGGTGGGGAGGTGATGGGGAGGTATCGCTCATGCTTCCCCTTGGCTTCTGCTTCCGGCCACTAGAACAGTGGACTAGACGGACCCTTGGTCTCAATCACCGGAGCTGATACTACACTAATTTCCTTTCACTGATTTGTTTGCAAAAGTCAGTAATTCTTCCGTTTACTTAGGAATGGAAGGAGAGAGAATTTTCCTTGCCAGAGAAATGACATAACATTTAACCTAGACAGCGTGTTTAAAAAGATGCATCGGTTCTAGATTTTCGCCACTTTATAATGACAATCTAAAATGCTAAGACGGCAGAAAAGGAAAGCAGAAGAGAGGAGGGGAGGAGAGATGGAGGGAGAAAGAAAGTGGGCACACATGCAGGAGGAAGCCTGGAAGTGGTAGAAGATCTCAGAGAGGGATAAAGACCCCTTGGCAAGAGCTATGGAAAACAGAGACTTATAGAATTATAACCCTGCTGGTGAGCCACCCACAACCTATTGGCAACACCATAAAAACATAGCAGAGATCATTGTATAGCAAGCAAAAGCCCTCTACAGAAAACAACTTTGGGGGTGGGGCGGGGGGGAGAGCTATTATATACAATAGCCTTGTGTGAGAACATGAATTGCTGGAATTAGTTTCAGGCTGTCACTCTGCAACTAGAGGATGATATCAAAATGGTTGGGAGGCCAGAAAAGAGGAAGAGAGAATGCTAATGTAAGAATTATCATAAATTTTCAGAAATTACTAAGTATTTCATGTTGCCTATTTGAGACATACTTTCTTGACAGTATGTTTTAAGTTCAGTGTCTCAGGCTTGACTCAAGGCTCTTCTGTAGTAGGAACTGTAAGTATTAACATAAAAATAGTAAAAAGACGCTGATTCGCATGAGTTGAGAAGCACTAAGCTTCCTCTTACAGAGCAAAGAGCGATGCAAATAAAGTGGCTTCATAGAAGTCAAAAATGTATGTTCTTTCTTGTGTCTTTCCTCTTTTTTCTTTTTTTAAGAGCCCTCTCCTGAACTGTACAGCATTACTCATACGGCTTCATTTATGCAGATGCACGGTAAGGCCACGGTAACATTTTTCCCATGTGTGAAGATATGGAAGTTTGTTTACACATGGATCTAGGTAACCTAGGCTAACGCTACGGAAAACCCCATCCATTTCAAAGGAAAAGAAATCTTCTGATAACCTGCCACAGGAGGAGGACAGGTAACAGGCTATGGGAGATCAGCAGAGGTTCAATCACCGAAGGAGAGAGGTTAAACTTAAATGTATAAAAGTGGACAACCCACATGGCTGCTAAGTCAAAAATTAGTGTCCAACTTTATATGTTAATAGATAGCTCAAAGGTTACATGTGTGAAAATATGTATTTGCATGAAGGATGAGGAACTGAAAGTGGAAGAAAATAAAAAAATATGGAAACAAAAGTACTAATTTTCTATTTTTTTTTAGGAAGACGGTTTTAAAAAAACAGCAAAAGAGTAAAATTAGAGCCATTACCAGCTGCAGATCTGCAGAGCATTCTCTAACTTTGAGATCGTTTCTCATGCATTCCCTCAGGTGCCCACCCTGTAAGGCTTGGCACTGGTCTCTGATGTGCTTTAAATAAAAGTTAAGCATATGCTTGCAGGTAAACAATCATTTTAATACAACTTCAAATCTTACACATGGAAAAACCCCACAAAATGATGTCCAAGATTTATCAAAATTACTACCACACTGTCCTGGAGGAAATGGCTTTAGCATGTGCTCTACAAGTCATAAGAAGTGGCCCACGTCAGACTAAAGAGGGAAAGCAGCCGAGTTGGATGCTCAACTCAGTAAAACAAATGCTTTGAGAGGCAGTGACTGGCCTCACATTAACTAGCATGATGGTATGGAGTTAGTAGACATTCAAACGTAAAACGGTTAGTCAAGTTAATGGGCTTTGTACCTTCTCCTATGAATGGGAGGCTTCTTTATACCATCCCCCAGAACTCGCATAGAACTGAAAATGAATCATGGACAGTAGTCAGCAAACTGAACGGAATAAAATGAACAAATAGCAGCTGAAGAATTATTATCCCCAGCACAAATAACAGAGGGAATGGAAATATCAGAGAAAATTTAAATGAAGTACTAGAGCAAGAAATGAATCTCTCTCTCATATTTTTTTTTCCAACAGAAAAAAGGTTGAACAGGTACTGGTAAGTGTTGCAGGTTAGCTGCTGCCAAACCCAAGTCAGTTTTAAGTTTAGACTAGGACAAGCTATTTGACAGAAGCTATAAACAACCATGATTAACAATGGGTTCAGTTTTGCAGCGCTTAATCCATCAGTGAAAAATGCAGTCATTTCTTTCCTCAGACATGAACATTAACAACACTGCCTTGTTGTTAAAAGAGAAATACTTAATACCCACTATGAATGCTAAGAATTAGGGAAGGATGAACATCCCTTTTGTGGAAGCCTTGTTAGTTGTCTTTATGTCTTTAATAGCAAAACATGGCACGAGAATTATCCATGAGATGGATTTGAGGAGAGAGGTAAAAAGGGAGAACTGGGCATTTTTTCCACATTTTATTTAAGATGCTAGTTTTTAAAATACTTTATGTGAACAAAATTTTATGTTCCTGCCTCCTACAAAGAGAAAATCTACAACACTGGAAAAGATCAAATCATAAAAAATATAGCTTTCTGGGCGGACTGCTTGGGTCCTATACCAGCAGCTCTGCTGCAGCTTGACTCAGGTGCTTCTGCAGTCAATGGAAAGACTTTTTGTGGGGGTGGGACAGCAGCTGGACCCGGCTGCGAGTTCCCTACTCAGCCAGGAGGCACATTTTGTTTGGCTTATTTAGTGGCTTACCACTGTCATAAAAGGCAGTCCCGCTGTCCTCCATATCCTGCCTGTGCAATCCTGCCTCTGTCCTTGGGTTGGTTCTGGTGGCAATTCCACTTTTTTTGGTTGAACTGTTTTTCCGCTAATTTAGCGAGCTGAACTGCTCGCCCAAGGGCCAGAGAAGTGCCGGGGGGCAGGTCCAGCCTGTCAGCAGTACAGACCTTAGATAAGGCTTGCACTTCATGTGACTTCACTTAAAAAGTTTCCACAAGTCAAATTACAGTAAAGACTTTTCCCCTTTGAATGGAAAACTAGACACGAATACAACAAATGCACAACCAAACACCCCACATTTAACTGGTCCATATGAAAGCCACTGGCATGGGCTTCACTCCCTAGGTATTTGTTCTTGCTTACTAGGAAACACAACAGTCAACATCACAACAGCCATGTATGGGAAGAACAGAGAAGAAAAAAAACAAAACAGTAAATAATCCAAATTTCTTTGCATCAAAGGCACAAAAAAAACCCAGGAACAAAATAGCAGCAAAGACCCATCCAGCTTTTCTTCGCTAATTAACCTATGTCACAGCTATCCTTATCAAGCGGCAACTGTATCTGAAAGCATATGAGAATAATTATTGTTCCTTTACCCAAATTATCTTACATTTACAATAGATGTATTTTCCCATATCATAAATAGCCTCCAAACTCTGATGCAGAAGAATTTAACTCCATCTGTTAAGTATTAGCAGTAATTGCTAGCTATGCAGTTTATTACTCTCAGAAATCCTTACATAACAGGTCCTACACTTAAAAATAAATCTTTCTGAATGAGTTTATGGACTCGTTGTGTCATAAATCAGCTTATACACCTGATGCTGACTCTTTGGAAGCTTTACAAGATAGGTATTACTTTATTTATTTAAATATCACCTGGGGACCTGGAATGACGTTCAAAAAAGGTGGCGGTAACAATAATAGGAAAAAGTAAATAAAAAGCCATCTTTCACTCGGTGTTGCTTGGAGAGCCCTTCATATTTTTCAGCACTGGCTTTAAAATCAGAAGGGTTCATAATCTTCCTTTAGTAAGTCACACAGCTTCAAATGTGTTAAGGAAAACCATGTGCCTACATTGCAAAAGGGAGACTCCTGGCTCTCACCGGATTATCCTAACTGCCCCGTAACTATTTACCAGGAACTCATTGTCCGCGGCTGGGTTTAATAGCATCACCCAAGATTCAGGTTAGCTTAAAAACAGAACTGTGACCCAGAAAGGCTGCAGCTCTCCGCACTCCCCACGGGCCAGCACCCGAGAGCGACGCCGCGCTGCGTGCCTCAACTCGCAGCCTGCCCCGAAGCCAAGGGAGGCTACGTCATCCCGATCCTCCGAAAACAACTGGCCACACCTGCTCTAAAAGCCAAACACACTAAAAACAACGACCAAACCTCCGCTGCCTGCGGACGGCAAAGGGTTTGACCCTAGCTGCCTGCCCACAGAACCGATATAACTGAATAGCTCAGCGCAACTCGAAAGCCGAACCGTGCCAGCACGCACGGGGCATGGCGGGGTTGGAGCACCCAACGCACAGGCTTCCGTGGGCTTGCTCAGATTATTTTTTTGGTGTATGTCTTCTTTTATTTCTTTTTTTTTCCCCAGTTGAGGTAAGAGGGATGAGCAGCTCTAGAAAAAGACACCGCTTCTCCTCATAGACAGTTGCCACAAACAATCTCACCGACACTTTGCTGTTAGGACTCTCCCTAATGTATTTTCTGAAAGAACAAAAGGGAAAACGTGACTGAGGTGAAACCAACTCTCCTTGAAAATTTATCAGGAGTCTGATGGGAACTATCCACCTCACCACTACCCACCACCTACTGTAGAGGCTCACATAAGGAGCCTCTACACTTCTGTTCAATACCCTAAAGCCCATACTATCTCTTAATACAAGTCAGAGCAATAGTGGCTGTGTTTATTTTGTGGTCAATGAGATTTAACACTCCAACAATTCCTTTAACAACACCCTTCATATAGAAAGGGGCGGTGATAATTCAAATGGAAAATCTGTTGCAAGGCATTTCCAGTCACTTTAATAAGCTTTGAGTCATTCTTTCTACACTCTGGAAAGCTGAAGTAGGTACTATAGGCATTAAGTACTTTCATCCTGAAATTTTATTTAAAAAATATATGTGAGGAGATTTTTTTTCACTCTGCAGAGTGAAAAAAAGAGAAAGAGACATCCTCATTTCTCTGTTTTTATCACGTCAAATCCAAAGCTTACATGAATATGCGTGAGTGGGTACAAAGTAAATCAAGGTAGGTTTTCACTCACCTCCTCTGATTTATTTCTGCTTCGTTGGTGGCATTCTTTCCTGGCCCCCAACTATGCCGACGGAAAGGTGACAGCGGTCGCATGGGGTTTCTCAAGACAGAGGAATGCGCAGGCACATCTGTTATGCTATCCAACTCTTCTTCCGTCTCTCCTGGGCCAGTGGGTTCACCTCCTCTTCCCTCCGCAGCCACCATGTTAATGCAGCTTCCGTCCAAACTGTACCTGTCCTTGGGCCTCATGAAGTTCAGCGTCGGTGGGAAGGGAAGGGAAGTGTCGCTGCCCAGGGATGAGTTTCTTTCCAAAGACATGGTGTCATCGGCAGAGGAACTGGAGCTGGTGACATCACATGCTGACTGCTCCTCTTCAGGTTGCTGTGACAAAAGTAAAAGGAGAAAAAAAAAACCGACATAAATACATTTTAGCATTCTAAATAAATGCAAATATACTTAACATGAGTTGCGAGATTTCTTAGTTGATAGCATGAGGCAAATTAATCGTCAGAGAAGGGAGATTTTTTGTTCTGGTTTCAAAGGAGGTTGAAGTACTCCCTGCTGCTATTGTCTCTTCCACCTCTTTAAGTCACCTACAGCATAATCCTGGGCTCCTCACTGGGTTCCTCCGATGTGCCTTTATCTTCACATTATAGCATTTCATGCTACACAGGGAACCCCACTTCCAACAAACGGCTTCTCCTGCCATTTCTGGCTGAACCTGTTATCAGTCAAGGGGGCATAAAGCCACCAAAGATTTACCAGGCGTTAACGATGGAGAGTGATTAAGGGTGAACCGGGTCATCAGGACATCTGACGGACAAACTCCAACCTCCTTCGCGTGACCTGAGCAAGTTTTGTAGCTCTTAGCCCTGAGAGCTCAAAGGCAACATATTGTTCCACTGCACCTTTCAGCACAAAAGGAACAATTATTCAGTAGTATAAAACAGATACGAGAATAAAGGCTTAAATCCCCATCCCAAACCACTTTCCATTAAGCAAAAAGTTAATGTCAGGGTTTGCAGCATTTTTCAAATCCAACTGTAATTGAAAAATACTGTTCCACAGGATCAGCTGCATTGTATTACAGGTCTTGATTCATCCTGCAATTTTTGGTTTAGTTTGCTCCAAAAGCAGTAAGTGGAACCCAAACTGGTTCTCCTTGGCAAAAGGCTACATGCTGACAATACAGCCTAAAAACAGGCTATGATTATTCTGTGCTCCCCGTGGCTAATATAAAAAACACAACCACGTTCATGACATCACCTTCAGCCTGAAATGGTGTTTGCCCCAAGGGACTGACGTGGGAAGTTTCAATTTATTCTCCAGCAGAGCCCTGCACTGTATCATTTAAAATAATAATATGCAGAGTGATCTGTCAGATCATATATAATAGACTATTCACCAAAGCCACAGCAGCTAATTGTCTTCAAATAGCAGGCTCCTTGGTTCTCAGCAGAAGCTGAGCGTTCATGGAGCTGCAGTCTGTCAGCTCGCATTTGGCAAAAGACAACAGAACATACAATCCAATTCTCAGAAGGAAGACGGGCATTAAAAAACGCAAGGAGCGAGATGAAGGGGTGTGCTACCGCCCCATGCCAGTCCTCACCTCAAATTCCACCAGCTCGACTTCCTTCCAGCCCAGCATTATCAGAATATGCTGCAGACTCTTCTCTGCAAGGCTTTTATTGGCATAAATTCTAAGCTAAAAGCTTCTCGTTAAATTAAATAAAAAGAAACTGAAGTGTTCAAAGTGGAGTCTAATGAAACATTTCACAATTTAAGAAAAAGCCCTATTTCAAGTTTGGCTGTCTATTTTTTCATCTTCTTTTGGTTTAATAGGTACACAATAGTGTTCTTAAGATGGTTTAAATAAATGCTGCCACGCTGTTTCCCTCTTCTCATCCATCAAAGAACAAAAAGATAGCATCCGCAGCACGATACCCAAGAACAATGCACTTCTTAAACACTAAACATTAAACAATACACTAAAAATACTTCCCATCAAAAGCATTCATTTCACAGTAAGGGATGTCAGATATTAATGATGAATTTGTGTAAGCACACTTTAATGGCAAACTTAAACTGCATATTTAAAATAATGGATTTGACACATATTTAAAGGGGAAGAGTAGGTTAAAACGAGGGAGAATGAAATGGATGCCCTGTAAAGTTTTTGATTATGTTCGGTATTATGTAAGATAATCTGATATTTTTGTGACTCGTGATGAGAGCTTACTGAATTGCTTAAATCCAGACAAATTAAGTAGTCATTATGTGGATAACACTACTTCAGAAGAGGAAACAGTCTGCTTCGCTGTCCTGAGACACAGGAAAATACTGTTAGACGTTAAGGCAGTGCAGCAGGAGGAAAGACCACAGCACACCAGCGGTACAGTGGAAGGACGGGGCACTTTGGAAACATTGTAAGTTGGGTGCAAATACAGCGACACTACTGCAGAACACCAAATTATAACGTGGGGCAATTAGCTCCAGACTACAGAGAGGAATTTTTATTTCTCAGATGAGAAATACTGCTCCAGTTTAAAGCTGAGAATGAAAATCACTTCTCTTGCAGGGAAGCTTCAGGGCTTCAATCATTAAACTGCCGTTCAAAGAAAAAAATTAGAAATGTGAAGTAGATGTGGTCCATTTCAACTTTTACCTTGAGCATCAGACAGACTACAGAAAGCACTACGCAACTTCCTTGAACTTGTGGCCCATGTTTATTACTCTCAAAATATTCTGTCTTCATTCAAATGATATCTTTTTGAAACAAAGCAAAATAGCTAATTTTGCTATTAGGACCAGGATTCTTGTCTGGAAAATGCCAAGTGTGTTGACACATTTAAGAAACAACAATATTGAAGCCACTTCTGCAAAAAATGAGCTATCTGGCCAAGTGCCAGTAAGTATGCATTGCTGTTTAATCCTGTTTGAGTAAAAACTTACTCTGCTTGCAGAAAAGAAATGGATCTTTAATTTGCTATTTTCCTACAGAAAAATAATGAAACATTAAAGAAATATTTATTTTCTTCGGATTAAACCTGCTGCGTCGCACCTCAGTGAATTTAAAGATTAAATCAAAAATCTTGGTTTTAAATCTTTGATTAAATCAAAGATTTTCTTAACAAGAACATGCAAAATGCAGCATAATGTATCAGAGTTACTTTATTCACATTTACGTATAGCTCCAGGCTCCCCGCAGTTAACCTCAATAGTGATCCCCTACTAATTATTTGTGTATTAGCATTTTTTTGAGTTGGAGTGGACCAGTCTATCCTTGGTGAAAGCCTCTCTCTTCAAACTTTTATTCTGGAGCATTCTGGAGCATTTCTTTTTTTTGGAGAGAAAATAAATAAATGCACAGATACATAAATGTTTTCTATCTCCTTTATCAAACGAAAACAAAGACAGCAACCAAATTTGAGTTACAGCCCTTTTCTTTGACAATGAACTGCAAGTTCCTGGCTTCCCAGGAGCCTTTCATGTGAATCATTTCCCAAGGGACAGATTTAAAAACTTCCTAGTAATGCTGGATTTCGGTGGCAGTTAAGTTAAGTTAAGATGAGCAAGCTGTACGGGCTATGCCACAGGAAGTTACAAGATGACTGTGAGAAATGACCTTATGCTGCATTAATCACTCAGGACAGAGGATGTTGCAAAGTCTGTACAGATGGCTGCTTGGAGAAAGAGAGCAAAAGGAGGATGATGAGGACATGGGAATAAAGCACGGACATACAAAATACAGCATTTTGCTGAAGCCCTAGAACACATGCTGTAAGTGATCTCTGGGTTTCAACACAGACTTTAAAGCCTGAAAAAACAAGTCAGGCTTTAATGTCGGAGCCCCCTGAACCCGGGCACTCTCCGCTTGGTCTACGTCACTCTGAGCAAGACAGGAGACACCATGGAGAACAGGTGCCCAATATCAGGGCCAGCTTAAGGCACCTGCAGATCTCCTGACTCAACACACCCCAGTTCTTCCAGGCCCTGGGACAGAACCAGGGCTTAAAATCTACTAATTTCTAGTGATCTTTATGGAAGCAGCAGATATTCACAGGACACCCTGGCCAGGCAATGGCTTATTCCCTCCTAATTTCCCTTAACAGTTAATTCTGGATTACAGCTATCCTATCACTCCTGCCGCTACATCAAACTCTTTTTAACAGAGGAGGGGTGTTTTGTACAATAAAACCTACAAGCAGAAGGCAGTTCAACCCTTGCTCCATACAAAGGGGAAACAAGAACACGATAGTAATAACAATAATTACCGTACAGAAAGGCTTGAGATTCTCTTTCTGTTCATAAACATGTTCTCTCTCTTCCTAATTTAATATGGAAATTGTACTATTTAACAGACTCAGAGCTAACCAGCTACAACCAAGAAATGTATCTTAAAATATTTTTGAAAAGAAAGATTAAATCCAGCACTTAGTTTAATGGATGTTAAAAAAAAAAACCTTATAGTATTCATTTCTACCAGCTGTGCTCTGCAGTCTAGAAAAAAGACAGAATTAAGGAACAAGCTCACAGTGCTGAACAGACATCTCTGATTCTTATAAAAATAGCTGTAACTGAGAGAAAGGTATGCAGGAAAATTCTGAGAAAGGAGACAAGGAATTAAGTTGAGTTAGCCAGCAAGGCAGAGACAGAAAAAAGTGACTGAAGTTGAGATCAGCTTTGAATAACTTCCTAAACTAAACTCATGAACCTTTTGAACTTTACCCATTTCTAGATGAAATCTGCAATCCACCGCAGAATGAGAACACTGCACAGATTGCCAATTTAATAAAAGGTTTCCCTTTCTATAAAGAAAATAATTTCCTCACTCTGTCCTTTCTCCACTGGCAATGGAGCCATTGCAGATCCACTTTCTCATCACCTCTTTCTTTTCTCTGTGGCACTCCTAAGATGTTGCATTACCAATTCTTTCTAAGTTTCGATTTTTGTTTTTCTCATCTTTGGAAAAAGAAACTTTGCACACAAAATAGAAAAAGCCAAAATTCTGTGTAATATACAATTTACTGTGTTCTCACAGCACTCTTCTCCCACCCATCCCCATACCATCATTAAATCAGACTCAAATGGCAAAGTCTCTTGCCGCAATTCATGTCAGTCTACACAAGGAAACTGAAGACAGTGCTATGTTCTGTCAAAAGGCCTTGTATTCTCAAGGTACCCCAGCACTTTGAAAGTAAGATGGGAAAGGGTGAGGCTCGTGAGCTCTGTGCCCTACCACGTTCGTTAAGGATGACTTTACTGTTCATTTATAGCACATGAGATCACTTAGTCCAGGCTGTGGTGTTTCCCGTCCCACTGGAAAATATTCACCATCATCTCATTTGATTTAACCAAAGAGAACTTGACTTCATTAAATATATTTCTCTGAAAGCAAACATGAAAACTATCCCCAAATTTTAGTTTTTCAGAGTAGGAACCCTGTCCACTCAAACAGGTAAGCCTGAGCTGCCTAAAACCGTGCAGAACTTAAATGGAAGTTTCCACGGAGCTTGGACCAAAGTCCCTGCCTGTGATGACGGCTCTAAGGAGGCTCATGCCCTATTTCAACCTGTAGCACTCTACTCTTTCTGTTTTCCTTATTTTATCATGTACTTACAGCAAGAACTATCAATTACAAGCAGGACTGTTAAAGAGCAAAACCCAGTTGCTCTCCGAATATATTCAGGCTGTACCGGTGCAGAAGACAGAAGGCCAAACATGAAGCGAGGCATCGCTATTGAGGAGGATGATTCTGTATCACAGTTCTCACCGACCCCTCCCTCCCCTTCTCATCCCTAAGCAACACAAAAGGCACAGAGATGACTAAGGTTAGTAATGATTTCTGTTGTTGATGTTGAGCAAACTTGAAAACATGTTCCTTCTACTTGCACGCAAAAAGGCATTAGAGGTATGTCGTCTAGGCAACAAAACTATTCACTAGAATTGGTTTTAAGTATTTAGAGTGAGTGTTTCCTTCCTATTAAGGGAGTTGCATTGAATTGATAAAAAAAAAAGAAAAAAAGCTTCTTCTGCAAATTACAGTATATGATTCTCAAGGTGCCAGTGGAGAGGTCATTGTTTTCAGGAGAAAAAAAATCTTGGTTACATTAGTTAAAGGTGGCTTTCACACCGCCTGCACTATCCCTAATGCCTAATGACCTTGCAAGAAAATCTACTCTTTCAACTGTTCCTCTAATGACAGATTTACTCGTGGACAGTCAAAATTACTTTAATCTTTTTAACATCAGGAGCTTGCAAAGTTTTTGCTATTCTGCTGCACATAACTATAGGTCACCAAATCCTTCCCATCAATTCTGTTTCATGATAATCGCTACCAGGTTTCTAGAGAAAGAAGTCACCACTGAAACCAAAATTAACCGGGTTTGCGATATGGATTTATAGAATCAGGTCTCAACTTCTTAAGTCGCATCCTAACCACACTTTCCTACCTTTCCAAAGACAATATCTTCCATCCCATCACCAGGCAAGGGGAAGAGCTCAGTCTCACTCCCGGACTCTCTTTTGAGGACTTCCTGTGACGAGGCACACACACGGCTCAGCCCATCCTCCAAGAAGTTTTCACATTCTAAGGGAGCAAAGCAGAAGAAGTTATAGTGACGCTTTCCTTTACACGCATGCATTCAGTCATATATACTTGGTAAATTAAAAGATTTAAAGATACAAGTAAAAACAGCTTTAAAAATTGTGTTCATTTCCCAAAAACATGACTGGAAATTTTCAAAGAGTTTATTCAAGAGTTTAAACTCTTTTTAAAGGCTTTGTATGCATCAGTGAAGTACACTGTGCAAACAGAAATTCTCCATTAAACTGCCTCGTACGCTTGCAGTTTGATGCACCAATAAATACACTACATATTAAGTATCCCATGTTGAGAATAACAGGTTGCTTCCCATTGACTGCAGCAACTACAAAATTCGATTAATATTCAGTAAATGCAGAACGTAAGCCGATGATATTTGTTTTCTTTCTCAATTTAAAACAAACAATTCCCTCTAACTTTTTAAAACCAAGGTGGTTTTAATGCACTTCAGGACCATCTGTTGCTTCTTTCGTCTATACTTCTAAGACTGACAAAGCAGTAGCATGATTTTCAGGGCTGCTTTTACTTTAAGATTCAGAATTAATTTATTTTTAAAAATTCCCAAGCTCTGATTACTCCTGACATTTAAATATAAGCACACTGCATCTTGTCTTTCCCATAAAATGCTTCTAGCTGTCTGGATCTGGGTAATTAGCAGAGTGGAAATAGACTACAGCTATTCAGAAAATCCTTTCTCTCTAAAAACCTTAACAGAAATGTATTTGCATCAGTGTGTGCTATAGTTGCATTTTTTCAGCCTTCAGGCAAAGGCATTAATGACAATTTTGGCAATAACGGAACATTCTTTTCTCTCTGCTAAACATATATATATTTTTTTCATTTTTAAGAAAGGTGTTATTTTTCGATCTGCTCTAACCTAAACAGATATTACCAAAACATGTTTAGCTCCCTGGAGAGGAGCCAGGGCAATGAAACGTTGCTTCGGTTTTAAATTGCATCTGACAAACTCAATCCTTGGCTATGTCAAGCTTACGCACCAACACAATGAACACAGATTTAGGTAGGGTAGCTTGAAGCCACCTTTTTTCCTTCCCTATCCTTAACCGGCCTCAGTTCAGAACTGTGTCTGACAGCAGCTATACAATATACCCCAGCTGCAGCGAGGCCACTGTCAAGCCACCCACACAGTCTCTCTCAGAAGCTCAAGTTAGAGTAACTGTAATTCAAAATTCAGCCCTAGATAAATAGCGTATTTAAGCTAAGGACAAGCAGGCTTAATTAAGTCAAGAGGCCTTAATGTTCGCATAAGTGAAGGACCAGACTTCTCCATATGGCACTGGGCTGGCTGCACTGCACAAATCCCCCAGTCGCGGAGGGACGCCGATGTGATGTGCAAGCACCGGCTCGGCCCGCAGCACGGCAGGAGGGAGGGAGCAACGGAGGCAGCCAGCCCTTCCATCTAGGAACAGCCCGGGCGCGCTCTCTTTCCATCCGCGCTCCTTGGAGAGCATGAAACGCCGGCTGCCTGGGAGCTCTCGTGGAGAACGAGGGCAGTGGAAAGAAAATAGAGAACGAGGAGAACACTGCCCCAAAGCTGGCCGGCCGCTGACGGGAGCGGGGCTCTCCCGGTGGCTCCGTCATTCAGCTTGAGAAAAAGGATCTGGTTGGAAACATCATCGTTCCAGAGAGGAGTTTCCATACCACGGAGAATTGGAAAAGCAGTTATTGGACGCGGCGTGCCTGTTCCCCCTTCCTTCTCCCCGTTCGGTAAACCTGGAAAATCTGAACTTCTTTTCTATAATCGAGGGGGATAAGGGAGGGGGAAGAGGAGAAGGTGAAAAAGAAAGGAAAAAGTAAAGAAGAGACAGTGAAGCTGCAAGGGACCCTGAGCCAGGATGCCGACGGTCCAGCTGGCAGCTGACTGAGCGCGTCCACAGCCCAGACTGCAAAACAAAGGGGCTCGAGCCACGTTCCAGTGGAAAACTAGTGAGGACGGTCCAGATGCGCCGATGAACGGATACCTCACCCAGACAATAAATCACAACGGGGAAAGGCCCTGCAGGATCAGCAAAGGGACAGCACAGGCTGGAAGAGGAAAGAGGACGTGAAACAAAGGGGTGGGAAGTCGAGGAAGGAAGATGAGGAGGAGAGAGAGGTGGGGGAGCCCCACACATGCCTCATCTCAGCTGCGCTGAGAACTAAATTTCCCAACTCTCTTCCCCCAACTTACAGTGGATACTTCACTTATTTTCAGTTATTCTGGGTTTTTTTGTGTTTTCCTTCTCTCAGTTATCTCATTGGGTTTGCGCTGTTTGTTTTAAGCGGCACACGTTGCACAACCCAGAGCACCGTCTCTCACACCCGGGACCTGACAAGCCCTGGTGACAGCGCTGTCATAACAACAGGGCCTGAAGAATGACTCCTATCACACATCTATCGCCTTCTTGCTGCACACACATGACTTACAGTGCAACAGCACTTATCTGGTTCTCTCTAAAGATGCGCATGAAAATGAAATGACAATGGTATCACATTTCTGCACAGAGGCAAACAAATTACAGAGTAAAAACTTTTAGGAATAAAGCTTCCAAACAACTTTTTATGTACATTTTCCAAAGCCTTAAGTCCTCCAAGACTAAGTCTAGGGGCCAAGTCCTCTAATTCCATGCTGCTATCTACACACCTACACTCCTCTGCTGTCAAAAGCATTAATGAAAAATGAAAAGCTACAGCTGCTGTAGTTACACTGCAAACGCTAAGGGTTTTATCTCTGTTGCACGTTGCAAGACTTTTCTTTATGGTCTTTACACTTTCAGCACCAGAGCTCACTCCAGGGCACAGCAACGCACGGCAGCCTCAGGTATGGGTAGGCAGTAACTATATCACTACAAGAAAGGACAGAATCTGCAGAACCTGAGATCTTTCCAAATACTTCAGTCAGACAGGAGAGCACATTTCCTTTGTCATCTTAAAAAACTGCCTCATTTTGTTTATTCATCACAGACACACACGCATATAACCATTAATATATATTTATGTATAGTTACCTGCTTATATAACATATATCATAATATTGTATTGATCAGTAAATATACAATTAATATTGATCTATATAACTATATGATAATATATTTGGCACGCCAAATGCACATATGACATTTTGCAGTCAAATGGAATACATTAACTCTAGCCTGAAGAATAGAAAATCACACTCCGAGGCAAGCAGTACCCAGGGAAACAAGAAGAAAAGAAGCAACATGCAATACTGCAAGTTATCTTCTAAAACACTCCTGAAAAAGATACTCATTGTGCATGACTGTTCTAAGCGCAGCTTTTTTTTTTTTTTAAAGTGAAAAAGTGTTTAGTTCACTTTGATGGAGCTAAAACTTTTACCTAGCATAAATCCCTCACAATATCACTCCCTGGCCTATAATTTGAACAGATTAGGTTTGAATTTCACATCGACACTCAGTGATTTACCCTCTGTTTTTCTCTCTAATGTCTTACATAAATTGAAGGAGGTTCAGGTGAGACCCCCACTCTAATTGCTGCAATGAAAGCAAAGGAAGTGTCTTATCTATGAAAAGTCCTCTCAAAGTCACCGTTAATGGCCCTGATAGCTTACTCCACTTTGTTTGTTTTAAAACACGCATAATTCAATGAAAGGAAACACTTTTTTTCTTATCTTTGACATCAACCTCTCTTTCAAACTTGCCAGGCAAGATTTTCTGTCCCCATGGAACAGACAGGGGATGCTAGCCAGCATGCATGGCAGTGAGCTCAACAGTGCTGATGGGCAGGGTGTGGGAAAGATGACTCTGAACAACCTTTCTGCTTCCTGAAGCCTGGAAATCATGAGGCCTTTTTTTTTTTTTTTTTTGGGGGGGGGGGGGGAAGGAACAAAAACCAAACCACTTATATGGATCTAAATATGGATGCAGGAGTCTAAGTTTCTGGGTTTTTTTTTTCCTATTCTCACATTTGCACCGCATGTCTGTGTTCCCTGACAGACCTTTCAATTTTATTGACAAATTGAAATACTGTCCAAAATACCTTAAATGCATAATTACTTAAGAAGGCGACATGCCATACAACTCACTACAAGACAAACGCTACAGCAGCCATAAGCTAACAATGACGCCTTACAGATTCATTACACATTTTCTTTTGTTTATATATTTTTCCCCTCAAGGTTGAGGTGGAAAAAAAAGGAGGAAAAAACAAAAAGGTAAGAAACAGTGAGGAGAAGGCTTGCAAGTCAAGAGGATCCCTGGGTTGCAGTTCTGCCCTGTGCACGGTGACCTGGGGACGAAGCACCCCCTGCAACACACACGGCTCACCTGGAGACTCCCGGGTCCGCCTTGGCTCCAGCAGTGAAGAATCGGGACATGGCTCTAATGAACACCAGCTTTCACGGTTTATCTGAAAGAACAGACAACACCAAATCATAGAAAGGTTACCCTCTCCCACATCCTAGCTAGCCTCTTCTAAAACATAGTTCTGTATTGAGCAGCAGCTATAAAGTTACAGGCTTAATTTTGTCCCAATAACAAGGATCTCAAAAGTAAATTACGATATTTTTTAACACCACTAAAGAAACCAATCAGATGAGCCCAAAACCTCATTTCTCAGTGGCACGTATCATATCAAGGTGACTCATGCCCAAGGCAGGCGCGCTCAGAGGGAGGACGAGCCTATGTTTAAGCTACTTGTTCAGGATTCAGCAGACCTGCGTTCAATTCTCAGCTCCACTTGTAGCGTGACTGCAGGCAAGATTCACCTGTTTTATGCCTTGGTTCACTATCTACAGAATAGTGATTCCTTACCACGCATATTGCTGTAAAAATAATTACCTTAAAGATAGAAAGGAGCTTTGATAATGTTGAAATGCAGGCTACCGAGGTACTCAAGATGCTGCGAGAACCAGAAGCGCTGTGTGTGTGTTTGACTTTGCATGTTTGCATCAACTCCAATGATGGTTATGTTAGAAAACGGGGGGAAATCCATTTTAACACTAACACATACATCACATGGTTTATTTCAACATCAGCCCTTATCATCTCAGCCCATCCCTCAACCTCTCTGTGACTTCCAGTCTTTCAGCACTGATGACTGATCTGCTCTCAGCCCTCTCTCCCTGCATGTTGGCTATGCCTGTGCTTTACTTTTCCTCACTTGGGATGTTTTATCCAACATCTTGATTCTAAAGTTTGTCTGACTGCCCTTGGCCCAATCCAGCATACATTTTCTACCACTTTTGTCTACAATCGGTTGCCTCTGGAAACCCCCTTGCCACGACACGCTCTCTCTCCTTCAGCAGCTCAGCCGTCTTCCTAGCTGAAATCCTGTTTTTTCAAACACTGGCAAATCTCGTTTGGACAATCCCATGCCCCGCTTCACCAAATCCAGAGGTTTGCTTCACTCCTCCTCGCTTGCCTCAACACAAGGATCTCACATGTTTTATGTAAAAGAAAGCTGCTGAAATACATCACTTTGTCTTCAGATGACAAAAACATTTCTCCTTCCCTCTCCTCTTCTAAAGTAATTTCCTTTTCCTCCTCTCTCTCCGATAGAGCATCTTCATCATTGTCTTTTTGCCTCTAACTTGTTTTCAAATTTCCCAGTGGGTCTATTCCATTTTTTGTGGTCCCTTGTCAGATGATCACCCTCTTAGTTTTCTCATTTGCTTCTCCCATGACACAAGATGCACTGCCTCTTCCTTTTTCTTAAAGGAAACCAAGAATCTCCTACCCTTGACCCGACTGGCTGCTTTGACTAACGACCCACGTCCTTCTCCCTTGCGTCGCGGAGATCCTGGAACTCATTATTTACAATTGCTGTCTGGAGTTCCTCTCCCATCTGGCTGCGTTCCCCTTGCCCGTCAACCGAGGTGGCTCTTGCCAGCGTCTCAGTGACCTCCTCCTAGCCACCTCTCGCAATCAACACACTGTTCTCTGAGTTCTGTCAGCTCCTTTCTACAGCACGATTTTTCTTCGTTAAGTTTTGTCCTCCTCCATACTTCTGCAATGACGAAGTGGGGTTGGAAGGGCCTTTGACAGGTCAGCTAGTCCTTTCCTGCTGCTCCAAGTCAGGCTCAGCTATAATCTGAGAGGCCTTAGGCCAACTTGCCCTTAAAATCCTCCAACAGCAAGGATGCCGTGACCTTCCTAGGCCAGTAGTGCTTGCTGGAGGAGACAGGGAAGGAGCAAAGAGAGTCTGCAAAGGAGAAAAACAAGCCAGAGACTCCTAGGAGGGGCAAAGGGATCCTTGTGCTCTACTGGCGGGAGGCCTCGAGTGACGCCCGTGACACCCCTCCCCGCTTCCAGGCTTATTACGGGCTACCTTTCTTGGGCATACATGCACTGATGGACACTTGCCGTTCCCCGCCTCTGCTCATTAGACCCTTGTACAGACATGCATCTAAGGCCCCATTAGACCCTGATGCACGCGCAGATCCAAGATCCCAGCCTTCCCCGCTCCCCTACCCAACATATTCATATGCCCACACTTGCATGCCCATCTTCCCCCTTCTTCTGCTGCCCCACACCATCTTACTGCACATACACACACCTATACAGGCTTTGCTGTAGTATCTTCACTAGCGGACATATTACACACACATTAAGTGAGGGGTGGAGAAGGAAAGAGAGGCAGTAGACAGGCAATCTGAAGTTTGAGAAAGGGTTTTGCAAGCAATTACTTGGAAGAATGATTTCTTATTTTTCAAAGTAAATAAAGATGTTCAGTTTTAACTGCTGCACAGATAGTAGATTACATTTCAGATTTGTTTAATCAAAGAACTTGCCCTGTTGGCACGGCTGAGGAGGTGTCCAGTCTCTAGCAATTAAACTTCATTACAGGGTGTGCACATACTTTTCAGTCATAAAAGAGCACTACTGCTGGAATCAATAAATATCACCCTAAAATTCTTTTTCTCTTTCAAGCCAAAGTAGAACCTTCTTTGGAGCAGATATCTAACATTTTCTTAAAGGCAAATTCAGAGGTTCAGTCTGAACACACATAGTAGTATAAATGCCAATTTGCCTAAATTCATACAAATGAAGAAACCACTCATTTCAGATATAAAAATCAAACTCCTTAATGGTTTGCACCTTACTTTCTCTTGAACTGAGTATGACCTTCCTTACACGTACACCAATGTGGCTCCACCAAATTTAAAGGAATTTCTCCCAGTTTATATTGATATCCACTACTGGAAAATGGTAACTAAGTGTCCTGTTCAACAAAACAGTAATCAGCAGAGGGAAAGTAAAAATCAGAAGACTTAAGAGAGTGTTCAGAGCCTATCAGATGATTGGTGATAGAATGAATTAAACTAGGCTGAATTCACATTATACTTTTTGCCTCTAATAGAACTAGTTGAGTCATTTACTGAAAATGCATTATAGACATTGGCATTTTTTCAAAAAAGATTTGAATATTTTTCCCATTACCCCGCCAGCTCTATCCTTTGCCCTGTGACTTTGCCAAGTACTGAAAAGGTCTGTTTTTTCTACAACAAAAAGTAATGAAAGAGTAACAGTGAGGTTTAATATACTGCTGTAGATATACCTGACTATGTACAAAATAAAGTAGTAATACCTTAAGTAGCTCTAATTCAGGGATAACAATCATCATCATCAAAATACAAACGAAGGAAACCACCACGATATACAAGTATTCTCTATTCCAAAGAGACCAGACAGGATTTGAGGGAGGTTTACAGCATGCTCTCGGGTGGTCCACATACACTTAAAACACACTGAAAACATAAAAACCGCTATCCACGGCTGAAGATTCATTACTGGACTCCCTCTTCTCTAGCCTCATCCTCCTGCTTATAGTTGCCCAGGACTGGTGAAGAAGCTACAGACACTAAAGGCTGTTGAGGAGATAGTTATAACATAAAGTACCTCAACTTCTAGGGGTGACAAATCCACAAGAGAGGTAATCAGAAATGGTTTTGTCTCAGGAGTTTACAGACCCATATGCATCATACATAACAAAACCGTTCCGCCCTTCTTCCCCGTTTTGCTAAAAGAAGTCCGTCAACAGGACAGCAGGTGGATGACCACGGAAGACGTTAAAAAGCCCACACTTCCCTCACTGCCCGCACTGATTACAGCCCGTGGCTTCTGGGCATCCCGAATCTTTGTGGCTGGAGCACGGAGGACGCAGCGGCGTTTAGATGGCAGAAGGGAATAGGAAACACTCCCTGGGAACAGAGTTTCAATATGCAGCTTTTGAAAGACTGCCAGGAGGGAACCAGCTATTTTTCCATGCAGAAGTCTGTGTTTATCTGCAGCTAAGATGCTGAATGAATCATGGAAGCACATCCCCAGACACTAAAAAGCGAATCCCAAAGGATTTTTTGTTTGCCTGTGAAACATTAGCAGACTAAATGTTCAGAGAGGGCTTTAAGACACTGACTGGACTTGCCAGCATTAGACTGTTTGATTTTGCTCTCTGAGCACACACGTATGTATTTCCTGACTCTCAAGAGACGTTTTCCTGCAGACATTTAATTTGAAACTTGAAGTGACTTAACATAGAAGCCTCTTTGCCTAAGAAAAGGAAGACACTAAGCAATCTGCTAGACAAAAGGGGCTGCTGTGTTTCCTATCATGTGGGAACAATTAGTGACCATCAGCTCTTATTTCCCTCAGCTGGAGCAGAGACTGTCCATTTTCCAGACCTCCCCGAGGCTCTTCCTTCCTTTCTCTTTGCCCACCGAGCCCTCGAGCCCTCGCCGCAGAGTTATCCAACATCCCGGCGGGATGCGCAGCCCTGTGCAACGCCTGCCCGCTTGCAGGGGAGGCATTTCAAAACCTGCTGCAGCCGTAGGCAAGAGAGCTCGCTCCAAACACCTGTTTTAGAAGGCTGGACACTGCCGTATTCGCATGCACTCCTCTTGCCAGGAGCTGCACCAGTGCAAGAGGTGACGGCTCTCCTTCCAAGAGAGTCCTTCGGCATCCGCCCAGCAGCTGCCTTGACAAACGCTGCCAAAGGCACCGTTTTCGGCAAGCGCCGCGCACAGGCGCGACGCTGCTCACCTATGCGCTGCGTAGCCCCAAAGGTGCCCACCAGGCAGCAGTGCCCCTGTGCAGCACCGGCACCCCTTTCCAAAAGCAACCGCCTGTGACCAGCGCCAGCTGCCGAAGCTTTGCCCTAGCGTAACTTTAAAACGCAGAAAGGGAAACAACCATGGAAAAGTCCTCTTTCCTCCCTGCTCTGGTTTTATTTTAACTATTCTGATCGCACCTCCATTTCACAATAAAGAAAACACACCTACCCCTTGGGAAAAATTCCACTATTTAAAAAGTTTGCAGTTGTCAACCTCAGTGGTAGCAGTATTAATCAACACGAATCATTTTCAGAGAAGAAGGAACCAGACAATTTCAACTTTCATTTCCTAGCAAAAC